TGATGTGTGTCTAGGGGGCTAACAATCCCACTTAAGGAGTGGTGATCAATATAGCATAGCATTGTAAAGCACAGGGGGAGTTCGTAGGGTCCTTATGACCGTTAGGGGTGCCTGATAGGCAGTATTAAGGCCCGATCACTCACTCAGAACAAAAACTTTTAACAGTAAGAAACACAAAATTTGTCAAGTCTTGAGCAGTTTGGGCACAACAGAGAGGTCTTCTGCGTTTTCAGCGCAACGGCACTGTTGCAGGGCTTCCCCTGCGGGCTGCTGGTATAAATGGCATGACCGGCTGGGGTGCGGTCTCAGAGGCCGTTGTGGATACTCCTAGTTGGAGCAGGATGCTAGGTGTTAATAACCTGGGTTTTAAATCAGCGGCTAAGGAAGTTCACAAAGCTCCTTTAGGGAAAGTCCAAAGCCTGTAGATGTGTGTAGGATGACATACGGCTTCCAGAACTGAATTGATAAGGACTGTTTCTTTGGTAAGAGTGTAAAGCAGCCAAAAATGTAGCACATACAGTACCTGGCAGCCCAACAGGGCTTACAGTAAAAAAAAATTATCGATTAAATATAGAATGAGAAGAAAAAAAGAGAAAAAAAAAATGTTGTTATTTGTATTGCCCTGGGTGACCTAGACAGTGTGGGCTGGGATTAGAGTTGTACCACACCTTTGTTAGATCAGGCCAACTAAGAAACTCTATTGATTTAGCCTGTAATTACATTCCAGGGAGGAAACGATGCAGACTGCTGCATATTCTACCCTTGCAGGTCATACACTTGCCCAGACATTAATCACAACCCATACGCAGGAAATGAATCCCATATTTCCCAAGCAGGCACTGTGCCCGACTTCCACACACTGATCAGCAAACTGTCACTCCAAACTAGACTGACGGGACTGGGACCAAGCAAGAGGAGCACTTCACATATGCTTTGTCAAATTGGTTCAATCAAAATGTAGCACTTAAAATGTTACCCACCAAAATGGTGCTTTTGCAATAGCATTAAAAAGCTATTCACAAAGGGATATTTGTAAAGGAACAGATAAGACGAGGGGCTAAGATACCCCAAACTCCAGTGTCTGTGTTCAGGCAACCATCTAGATTGCAGACAGGACGCACCTGTTGCGGACTGTAGCTACGATCATTCTCAGACAGCAGGTGACACATCAAACTAGAATGCCTATTAACATGCTGAGGACCTTAACTCCCATCATTCAAAGCCAAGATTTAGCAGTAATAGAAATAAACAAAAACAAAAATGGAAAATGAAATATTATTTGGAAGATATGTCGATTATATATACACTTTTTTTTCCTGTGACTTATAAATACAGGGGGCCATAAAATAAACTAACACTGGGTAGCTGGAAGAGGGAAGACTTGTTTCACAAACACGGAGCAAAACCTTTGCTTCCCTGAGTACTGATTTCCTCCATCGCCTCTTGTATTTGGGAACTTAAAGGTTAAATGGAGAATTCAGTGAATGAGCAGAAGGTCTTGATGTGAGTGACTCACATACATAGAAATGTGACAGATGAGAAGACACGCTGGGAACCAGAATCCATGTGGGCAAGGGGAGAGTCCCTGTGAGTTTCAGGAGCTGGAAAGCAGAGGTGGTTTAAACACATATGCAAGGGCGTCTTCTGGATAATAAGTAACTTACTGTCCCACTCAGGATATCCGTAGAGGCGAGATGGTAAACATGATAAAGGGATTCCTAAGATATTATGGTGAGACATGTCTGAAATCCACAACAGGATAAACCAGATAAACTTTTGTGTGTTTAATTCAGTCTATATTATAAAGACTGTGCTATGAAGATCAAGGTTTTCCACAGTTTCTCAACAGTTACCTGTATTCCTAATCTGAACACTGATTTACACAGCAAACCGAACACTTCCAGGATTAATAATTAAACTACAAATGGAAAGGGATTAAAGATACACTCCACTGCCCAAATACCCCCTAAAAAAAATAAATAAATAAAAAAAAGACATTGAAAAAATGATTTCAATTTAATTATTCATTTAAGCTGTAGATCTTTTGTCTGAAGCCTTTGCAAGTTCTCTCCTTCTTCCCCAGACCAGACTTTTTGTGACTGTCCAATCACAGGCTTCCCAATGCAGTTCTAAGAGTAGAGAAGTCTTTGCAGGGTAGGTACTCTGAGCAATTGCTGCCTCTTAAGTTCAGCTTAAAGGGACACTGTAGGCACCCAGACCACTTCAGCTCATTGAAGTGGTCTGGGTGCAGTGTCCCATGTCCCTTTACCCTACAGTGGTAATTATTACAGTTTCTGAGAAACTGCAATAATTACCTCTTGGGGTAAACTCCTCTAGTGGCTGTCTACCAGACAACTACTAGAGGACCTTCCTGAATTGAAACAGACCAGCACTGCATGAGGACCTCCAGCGTTAGCTATTTCCACATAGGAAAGCATTGAATAATGCTTTCCTATGGGGAATTCCTTATTATTATTATTATTATTATGATATTTATAGAGCGCCGTCAAATTCCGCAGCGCTTTACAATGGGTGGACGAACAGACATGTAGTTCGCGCCCAGCTATGCCAACCTCTTCATGACCGAGTGAGAAGAGAGAATGGTGTGGAGCGGGCATGGCTGGGTGAGGAGCCTGGTGGCCTATTTCCGCTATATAGATGATCTCCTTTTTATATGGAAAGGTCCAATTTCTACAGCTAAACTTTTTTTAGATTTTTTAAATACAAACAATGATGGTATAGTTTTAAAAGCAGATTTTAGTCAGACCCACGTCACTTTTTTAGATTTGGATATTTATATTAAAGATAAGAGATTAAATACAAAAACTCATTTTAAACCGGTTCATGTTAATAATTTTGTTGGAACAGATAGCTGTCATTATAGGAGCTGGCTTGACAGCATCCCTAAAAGTCAATTCCTTAGCTTGAAGAGAAATTGCTCCGATGCTAATACTTTTAAAACTCAGGCGAACATGATGAAGAATAAGTTTATTGAAAAAGGTTACGATAAAGAGAAAATAGATAAAACTATAGAAAATATTACAAACACAGATAGAAAGGATCTTCTAACCCAAAATAAGGGTTCAAAAAATACTAAGAATAATGGGAAAGATTTTGTATTGCCTATTGTCTTAGATTATAATAATAAAAATAAACAAATAAAAAAAGTAATTAGGAATAACTGGCATTTATTGAAAGAAGATCCTGTATTAGGAAAAATTATTCCAGACCAGCCAAAAATTGTATTTAGAGGAGCTCCAAATTTGAGAATGCAACTCACACAAAATTATACAAAACAGAAAAAGTCAGAAGTTATAAATAATTTTATGAAAAACAAGAATGGATTTTTTAGATGCAATTGCTGCGTAGCGTGCAAAAAACTAAAAAAATGGACCGATATATCCATAGTTTTAAATCAAATAATACAGATAAAAGTTACAGTATTAAAAACGTGATATATTTATTAGAATGTCCATGCGGACTGCAATATATAGGGAGAACTATAAGACCGTTGAAGGTCAGGATTGGGGAACATTGTAGAAACATAGAAAAAGGGCTAAAAACCCACTTGGTATCCTCACATTTTGAGTTACATGGTAATGATCCACGGCACTTAAAATTTATGGGCATTTCAAAATTGTCCAAACACTGGAGAGGTGGTGATATAATTAATAAATTGGGCAAGAAAGAAATGGAGTGGGTCTATTTTTTAGACACACTACACCCTAAAGGTCTTAATGCAGAGTTTGATCTTTTTAATTTTTTATAATAAATATTAAAAGAAAAAAACCTTTCACACCAGTTTTTATATACTTTGCATATTTATATACTATTGTTATTGCTTACACACCACCTCCCCTGTGTATCACTTTAAGATCTCCATATATGTGCATGGTTCACTTTGTGTATAGCATTTTTTATAATATTGGTTATTTTTTTATAGATTTCTATGCATGCTTATTTTCTGGTATGCAACACCTGGTATAAACCTATATATTTTGTGTGTATAGCTCTATGATGTCTTTTTAAAAAAAAATAAAAAAAGTTAGTATTTAAAATATGCTGGCTATCTTTTGTAATTAAACATATGTCTTATTTGCTTTTATTATATGTTTTTATATTTACATTCTTTCTTTAAATTTTATCACCTTGTTAATTACATAATTTACTTATTTTATTCTTATATGTATTGTATCCCATATCGGCAATTTGCCGAACTACAATTCCCATGAACAATACCAGATCGTGATACATCACTTCCGGGTGACGAAACTGTGTTTATAGAGAAATGGACAATGTAAACTACATGTCCCATCAACCACTGGGAGATACGCTGACGTCACTTCCGGGAGCCGCACACAACATGAATGGAGGGATACTACATATTCCAGCAAGCTACGAGAAGAGTCGCTGACGTCACTTCCGGGCGACACACGCGACCCGGAAGTAGGAAGTGAAATTGCATCAGGACTAAATCACATTAATCAGGAACACTTATATAAAGAGGACTCCACTGAATTTTGGACTTATTACTTCTGAAGAAGCCCCAGACCGGGCGAAACGCGTTAAGTAAGATCTGATACTTCTTTTATTATATATTTTTTATTTTGTAACAAAGTTATAGTTTTTACTACTTTATTTGTTGTTCCTGATACATCTTGAATCCTGACTTATATCCTTTGGTGGGGATCATACCACCACATGCTGTCTATACCAGAGCAAGATATTTGCTCTGAAATTTGTAAGTAGGATACTTTTCCTTTATTTGCACACTTTTTAATACATATACTACACTATTGGATTTTATTTCTATTTTTATCTTTCCATATACCACTGTGGAGGATTGGATACCGCATTATACCATCACTTGATATCCTGAGACGGAGATTATACCGTCTAGGCGCTATACGGCAGGGCTCTGAGTAGCTCTGCAAAGTGTGAGTGAGTCTTTTATAAGCTTTTATATACTCTTATTTCACTTGACATATTGCACTATTATTGTTCTGTACTTTTTTGCCTTGAAGGTTTTATACATTCCAAATTAGAGGATTCTCTGTATGTATATATTTTAATTATTATTTGCACTGTTTGGGCGCGTTTAACCACTTTTGTCTCTTATGTAGTTGTAACCAGACAAGTTGGACACACAGGAACAGAGGGGTTGAGGGCCCTGCTCAATGAGCTTACATGCTAGAGGGAGTGGGGTAAAATGACACAAAAAGGTAATTTTACCCCATTGTACCTCATTTTACCTCATTCAAGCGTGGCCATTGCTGCACATGCGCATTAGGTCTCCTCCTGATGTCAAAGGGGGAGGAGCGTGGGTAATGACTGGCCAGCGCCGAAGGACATCGACGCTGGATTCAGGTAAGTGACTAAAGGGGATTTAATCCCTTCAGTACCGCAGGAGGGGGCGGGGGGGGGCACGAGGGCACTGCAGGAGCCTATAGTGCCAGGAAAACTGCTTTGTTTTCCTGGCATTATAGAATCCCTTTAACTGAGCTAACAAAACCAAGAAGTAACAGCACAGGTTGCCTGACTGACAACTATGGGGAGGCAGTGTAACAAAGTAAATCTATAAAAGTGAAAGCTGAATTTGTAAAATAAAGAAGAGGTCAAGATCTTCACACAAAGGATTTCAACATGCTAAAGTGCTTCAGGGGTCTGAAGTGACCCTTTAAAAAGGTAAAATTGAGGCTAAAACACCTGATTTGGAAAAAGTTCACATTCTATTTTAGCCTCAGTTTAGTGAAACTTGATATCGTGACACCAAAGTTAGCTAGTTAAACAAAACAGGCAAAAGTTATTTAACTAGACTTGCATGATATAACATCAGCTAACCATTTCACATGATCTATTGCCCAGCATTTTTAATAGGCTGTATGCCATTTATTTTAAAATAGATCAGGGACTGACACATATTCTTATGTCATGTATACCACATGTAAAAAGCGAAATAACAAATAGAACCATAGTGTTTAACCGTGTAACATTATGGCTACATGAATTTCAAAAGGCCACTTACACTTCAAAAATTACAGAGTTCTTGTAATAAATTCATAATCCTCCAAATAGTTATTAACACTGGGACTTGCTCAACAGACGAGATGAATATACTGGAACTCTGCTCAATAGATCAGCATACCTTGTGTTATGTTGAAGGAAAATGCTCCTTTAAACCAAAAATACATTAGAAGGTGTGATAGCATTTGCATCAACATTACTTGCCTTCGATTAACAAGTAAATTAATAGAAAAACAGACTAAATTTAAGACCCAGAAAAAAGTATCATTACTTGAGGAAGCTCAAAAAAGATTTTGCTTTGACAAATCATACTAAGTAGGGACCACATTCTATAGTGACATGTGGCCGTAAATCTGTTACCATGCCAAATTGATTTGTGTCTTTATAAAAAAAACGGACAGTACCTTTTGCCTTTTTGTATACAGACTGGAGTCTCCTTTAAATGGTTACTCCAAGCACCATAACACCCTTTCTATGATTTAAAATGGTCATGGTACTTTGAGTCGGTATTTCTATGAAACACTGCACAAACAGAGTTTGACCCCTCTGCTGTCAGAAGTTTAACTCTAGGAGAAAAAGCATGTAAGATTAAATATTTATACACTGTGATAGAATTTATCTTGATTCCAAGGCTCAAGCTTATAGGTGTCATATAATGATATCCTATATTAAAATTGGCTAACTTGGACTCAGGAAATGCTTGATGCTTAACACAACACTTAAGACCATATATGTCTAGTTCTGGGAGCAGAGAGCCCCCACCTGAGATGTCTCTTCTCTAATCTTTTTGTTCTTTCTTACCTTGGAACTTATTTGTTATGTGTACATGACGTTCATCCCTATGTCTTATTTGTACTCCCTTCCTATTACTGTCCTATGAGTATTTGCACGTAAGCACTTACTTTTTAAATGTATAAAACCCAGCTGATGAATAAAACTGCAGAGGCTTATTTTGAATACCAACAGGTGTCTGGTGTCTAATTCTTGCTTTTCCAAGTGCACTTGTAATAATAATTTGGGCTTCCTCTGAATATAACAAAGATCATTAACAACAACACACATATATACACATTTCCATGTCTGCCTGTTTAAAAGCACTACATTCCATAGGGCACTTCGTAAGTTAAATCCGAGGAACCATCTACTAGACTTTGTGACGGGACTTCTAGAACCATAAGTGTGCCAGTGCACATTACAAGGGGAAATCCATGCATAATAACCTATGCAATAAACATAAATGGTTATGGTGCTGTCATGTCCTTTAAAATTGTATACAGCAAAACACAAAATGAGATTTCTAGTTTTAACAGCTGGGTGTCAGTATCATCCTCCGTAAGAGCTGGAAGCATTTAGCTAAGCCAGGCATCTGTAAAACCAGGGAACCAAATGCTAGTGTTCATATTGACTAGTCGTGAAAAAAGGTTAAAATGTTTGTAGCTGAATTATCAGCAGCTTCTAGTTGGAGGTTTTTAAAATGACCTTCCCATATGCTCTTGTAAAAAAAAAAAAAAAAGAAAGAAAAAGAAAAAGGAATGCAGGGAAAATATCTTAATGGTTTTTTATTTTCAAATCCTGGAACAAATCATTAATCACAGTTTTCGACCTTCGACCTACACTGAAATGTATTACATATTATATGAACAGTCTTTTCATAATCATATTTTTAAGTCTTAAACAATGAACCTACAAGGACACAGCACCTGTTCTGGACAGATATTGATGATAGTTAATACGGAGGTAGAAGAGGTTTCAAAAAAAAAAAAGAAAAAAAAAGGGAGTTGATTGTGACATTAATACCAAATGCACCAATCTGGACTACAATAACAAGACTTATATATGTATTCAAATATACACCTTGATTTAGTTAGCTCAAAAGATTCAGTACGGTTAGAAAAACTTTCTAAATTATTTAGCTACAAAAATAGATTTTATGGTAATTTCTAGATAAATTGTTTGGAACGTTTTTATAACAGTATTGAATCATTTGGAAAGTTTATTAAATTGAGGCCATAGTGTTTCCCTTATGGTTACTTTTAGCTGTGGTAGCCAGAATTTTACAGACACTAGATCTCAATCATATTCTTAAAAAGTACCTTAAACACTCACAGATGGGACTCTGTGTACATAGCACGCTAAAATGACAGCTTCCATTAAAGGACCACTATAGTGCCAGGAAAACATACTCTTTTTCCTGGCACTATAGTGCCCTGAGGGTGCCCCCACCCTCAGGGACCCCCTCCCGCCCGGCTCTGGAAGGGGGAAAGGGTTAAAAACTTAGCTTTTTCCAGCGCTGGGCGAGGAGCTCTCTGCCTCCTCTCCTCCTCCGATCCGCCCCGTCGGCTGAATGCGCACGCGCGGCAAGAGCTGCGCGCGCATTCAGCCCGTCGCATAGGAAAGCATTTACAATGCTTTCCTATGGACGCTTGCGTGCTCTCACCGTGAAAATCACAGTGAGAAGCACGCAAGCGCCTCTAGTGGCTGTCAATGAGACAGCCACTAGAGGATTAGGGGGAAGGCTTAACCCATTCATAAACATAGCAGTTTCTCTGAAACTGCTATGTTTATTAAAAAATGGGTTAACCCTAGAGGAACCAGGCACCCAGACCACTTCATTAACCTGAAGTGGTCTGGGTGCCTAGAGTGGTCCTTTAAGATTTTCACACCGAACAACAGCACATAAAATAATTCCAGAGATGTCCTGCGGAAAAGATAGTAACCACCGTTCAACATAGCAGAGCCAAAAGTGCATCATGTTGAGAAAAAAAAAAAAAAAAAATTCAATTAAAAATACTAATAATAAATTAAAGAAAAAAAATTTATATAAATTTAAATGTCATTGCTGACTGTTAATATGGGTTTGATGCATTTTATAAGATTTCATACAAAAGAGCTTCTCTATACCTCAATAACCAGTCCAGCTGAACCCCAACATTATGGAAGGTGTCAGTCCTAATAACTGGAACAGGACTATTCAGCTGTAGCAGAGCTAGCAGCACTGCCCCAAAAGATTCTCTTCAGCATATAATAGGATAGACAGTCTCACATTGTAGTATCTCCTGCGGATTCCTATTGGGTCTTCTTATCAACTTCAGCTAGTGCATCCTTTAGCTTCCTTGTTAGGCTTGGGATGAGACTCATGTGCTCTTCTGCACACTTTATAACACAGCTCTCCAGCTGAGACTTGACTTGGGCCTCTTTCAAACCAGAGTCAAAGGAGTCTTTGGCTTTGTCATTGCAGTGCATGGTACAGCGAGCAAGGCGGTTCTGCAGTGTAAGGAAGATAAGCATATTAAAAAAAAAAAAAAAATTTGCCAAAAAACACAGACACATTGTAAAGAAAGCAAACATTTGAAAAAGTCAGTTTAATCCTAGTCAAAACATTACAGAATAAGAGAATTTTCCTTCCATAAAGGAAGAACGCTTATACAGATCTGAAAAAGCATAACCCCAATTTAATTTTAAAAATAAATAATCCAAAAATGCCTCCAAACAAACATACATACCAAAGCCAATAGTACAATGCTAACCTGTGATGGAAAAGTCAGTGACCAAATGCATCAACCATACACAAATAAAATATCAACAAACTCCCAAAGCGTATAACTTAGAAATCGTCACCTAATAATAAATATAGGTTTATTTTGAATCCTTCAATCATTTAAAAAAAAAAAAAAAAAAACTGTATATACTTTGTGTTAATTATTATATCTGGCCAGGAGAGTTTTAATAATTAAAATAAGAAACATTTAACGGACATGGTCTTCCTCTGAGCTGAATTGTACTTGCAGCAACAATAGAAAGCTAAAATCTTCTTATGCAGAGTAATACTGGGTGGTACATACGTCCTACACAGAGTAATACTGGGGGGTAATATCAGAATGTTAAAATATATTCAGCCAAGGTGGGATGCGCTTGCAGGTCCACCCTTACTAAATTAGATCACCAGAGAGACCCTCCAGTAATGGTTTAACCCCTGTATTGAAAATAGAAACGAAAAATTCAAAACACTCTCACGCAAAATATTTTTTGAGTGTTAGCATTTAGCTGGAGTAACAGTTAACAATGTTAAATATACACTTAACCAATTAGTAAAGAGCGCAGGTGTTTATTATCAAAGCCTGTTGGCTAAACCTCTGACGGATACATGGAAACCATGATAGTAGTACTCTTTCAATATCTGGCTTTATTAAATTTATTTGCCAATGTAGGGGGATGATCTAAATATCAAGGTACAATATTAATTAGTGCAAATTGTCGTACTGTTAAGATGCTAGTTAGGTGAGTTGGTTTGGTATATTAATTACCAGAATAATGTGGATATCTGTCTCCACTATGTGAGGACTTTCCACCAGAATATTCAGGTAAGTATAATCATGGGCTGCAGTTATAAATACACATCTAAACAGGAATGAGAACTGTTAGTAGATCTGCCACACATTAAATTAAAGGTGGACCTATAATACCTTTTAACACGACTCAGGGTTAAGTAGTTAAATTAGATAGGATGATAAGAATGGATACATTCAAATATATGCAAATATTAAACAATTAAAAATGTTCCTTGTTGGTCTCTATATATGTGTTGCCAAATGTATCAATTACAACAAATATACAGTTGCAAAATGCTGCAGCATAGTGACCTAACGTTTTTATAGTAGACAGAGTAGTATAGGTAAAAGACAATCCTCTCTCCCTGTTATACTTGCTCGATAGTCAGAGGAGTAAGAAAAAGAAAAGTAAAGTGCTATAAAATTATATCATGTTTAGGTCTGCATGATATGTAACACCATTGTGAATAGGTGTATAGTGCCTTGTGCCAAAGAAAAAAAGAAGATGCCCGACGTGCGTTTTGATGCACAGCATGTGCACCTTCGTCAGGGGTCAGACGCACACTGACTCTTTGCTTCCTTTATACCCCCTAATCCCCTGTGGGAGCTGTGGATTGCAGCCAATCAGCTGCTAAATGGTATAACGTAGGATGATTAAATTCTCTCTTTACTATTTGGTTAAGTGCATATTCAACATTGTTAACTATTTCTCCAGCTAAACGCTCATGCTCAAAAACTGAGAGCGTTTTGAATTTTTCGTTGCCAATATCAGAATGTACATTACTTATACAAGGCAGATAACAGCACACATTACTACTACCCATTCATTTAAACATGCAACAGTCATTCAACAGTCAATTAACAGGTCAGTCCTTTAGATAGGGATTTTTCCTTTGTGTATTAGTTTGGTGTCCAAAAAGGTAAACGCAAGGAGGTGGCATTTAGGAAAGCGTCGGATTTTGACCACCCAATGAAACGGTTTAATATAAACTGGAAGGGGGAGGGGGGGGGGATATTATCCAAAGAGTCTTTAAAAGTAGAAAAAAAAATACCAAAACAAGAGGACATAGTCTTAAATTAGAGGGGCAAAGGTTTAAAAATAATATCAGAAGGTATTACTATACTGAGAAGGTAGTGGATGCATGGAATAGTCTTCCAGCTTAAGTGGTAGAGGTTAACACAGTAAGGGGGTTTAAGCATGCATGGGATAAGCATAAGGCTATCCTAGATTTAAGATAATGCCAGGGGCTAATTAAAGTATTTAGAAAATTGGGCAGACTAGATGGGCTGAGTGGTTCTTATATTCCGTCACAGTCTATGTTTCTTTTGCACCACAATCATTAGTTAAATTGGTTAGGATGCTTAGAGTGCTCCTTTAACAATTATGTTGGCATGTGAAAACATTTGGTTGTGAGGGTTACATTGTGTAGACTCTGCTCACCTGAAACCTCTCCAGCTCGCTGGTAACCAGACTCTGTGCCTGCGCCAGTGGAGCATGGCAGCGCTCGATGCAGTGGTGGACCTGTTGAATGGAAGCTCCTTCATTTTCACAGCACTGTGCACTGCATCGAAACATTCTGCCCTGTAAGAAAATCAAAGTTGGTGAGATAAAACCAGGATTATCATAAAACCAAAATAATACGCTGGAGACGTTATATACTATCTACATATAAAAGAATAAACTTTACAAAAATGACAGGATAATGTATAAAGCTCAGCATCCTCTCATTGTAATATAACACTCAACTCAGTCTGTCCTGCAATACATGCCCACACAGAGTATTAGTATGGGTATTATTGCTCTCCTGTACAGACATGTATTGCAAGGCAGCGACTGAGCTGTAATACATGTTGTACTCTGTATGATGTAGACCCAATTATCATGGCAGGCTCTTTTCTAAAGCTGCCCCTCTTGAGTCAACCATATGATTTACATCCAAGCACAAAGACTGCAGACGCCATCTCAAACTGAAATACACAAAAGTGATAGTGATACGATAATTAAAGGGACACTATAGTCACCATAACAACTACAGCTTAATGTACGTGTTCTAGTGTCTATACCATGTTCCTGTAGATATGTTGCTGTAAACACTGCCTTTTCATAGAAAAGGCAGTGTTTACATTACAGCCTAGGAACACCTCTAGGCTGTAATCAAACGGCCACTAGAGGTGCTTCCTGGGGCAGTGCTGCTGTTCAGCATGTCCACGCTCTGCATGAAGACATTGAATACTCTCCATAGAGATGCATTGTGTATCTTTCCGCCCCTTATTTTAAGTGGGTGAAGGGAGGGGGGTTGGGGGGTATGGACCCTACATGTGTTTTTAACACTATATGGTCCGGGAAAAATGTTTGTATTCCTGACCCTGTAGTATTCCTTTAATAGCGAGTAAGCAAACTGTGTCTTGCATAGTAACTACAAACATAAAGACTTGCTGCCGTTTCTTTCATAAAGAAAAATATGGACTTTGTTATTAATCCTGTAATTATTATTGATCTTTTAGAAATACGGGACAAGACAGAAAATTTAGAGATGCAACTGTGCTTGCTTTATTTTATTTGTAGGTCCTGGTTTGGCAGTGGTTTTGCTACAGTCAAAGACTCAAAGGTTAACTACAGAACAAATAAACTGTAATGTGTCCTTCATTGCGACATTGACTAGGTTATTCCCTGAAGCCCCGAATTTTTGCTAATTACCGTAATTTGAAATGGAAAAACTGAAAAAAATAACAGTTTGTGATTTTAGCTGAGAATTTTTCCAGATCAACCATTTTAATATTTACATTCATTTGTAATATGTTAGTAATTAATCCTGTGAGTTAAGTTAGCAAAGCTGCAATCTGTCAATATCACTTCTTCCCAACATATTGGTAGGATTTCCATTCTGGGCTTGCTATTAATGCAGCCAGAGGTAGACTTATAACTCTGGCAGCTAAAATAAAGAGACACTACAGTCACCAAAATAAATTTAGCTTAATGAAGCAGTTTTGGTAAAGATAGTTTCACTGCTCAATTCTCTGCCATTTATGCAGCCTTGTCACAACTCCCTGCATGTGAATTACATAGCCTTCCTTTAAAGGGATACTCCAGTGCCAGGAAAACAATCCGTTTTCCTGGCACTGCAGGTCCCCTCTTCCTCTTGAGCCCCTAAAATGGAAAAGCTCTCCCTATAAATACCTAACGGGAGATTTTCCTTAAATATACGAATTTAACATTATGTGATGTGGTAGTAGCGGTTTACTTTATTTATTCTCAGACAGTTTTATGTTTTTTTTGGAACTTGCAACTGTGGATTACATACAGAAAAAGTGTGTGCAAACTGTTGCTAGTTTCAGGACTAATTTATGTACAACCATTCTAATCTTACAAATATAGTTAATTTGAACAACCCCTGCTGGTTGCCCACTTCTTTATTTCAGGGTTAATGAGCATCCCAATTTTATGGTTATATAGAAGAGTACTTTATTCATTCACAGGTCCTACCAATGTCACTGAGGTTTTTGCACAACCCAATAGTGACCATTGATTGCGTTGTTTTTTTATTTATTTATTTTTTCATGTAAATAGTGCTCCCCAGCTGTCATGACACAGATTAGATTAGCTTAACCATCATGGTGTCATGGGAAAATAAAGCATTGCAGAAAGAATGCCTGTGCAAACAAGTGCTAACACAGAGCTTTCTATGAAGAAGTTCAAACACACAAGCAGATTAGGAGCTTTAAAAGAAGCACAAGAAAATGTTGACACTGAACCCAAGAATCCTGATGTGTGTAGAGTAATTAGCACTCAGCATCAAATTTCACCCTAGTAAGCTATTTTATTAGTGACATGGCTTGGATAAGGTCACCATCGTAGAAATATTACAATTTGGAAGTTCTCAGTTGACTTGGATATTTTTTTTTTTCCAGTTTGGCTAGTTGGGTTTTAAAGTTGTGTATTTGAACTCCCAATTCTCACTTTTGTGTACAATACAGAATGCAGACACATTATTAACCCCTGTTTCACCAAAACATGGGCTGACTGGTCACAGTAACCTTAATATATAAATTATTCTAAATCTTAGATACTTTATGCTCTATGTGTTACACTGACTGTGCCAACTCAGTAATAATTGGAACCCACCCAGCATGCAGCTCACCTGCTCATTATCTCACCTGCATTTTCCGGATATTTTCTCTCTCCAGGTTTTTAACCATGGAGTCCACTGCATTTTGCAATCGGGTCTGCTGCTCTTCTGCCATCTCTCTGTACAAAAGCATGTGCTTCAAGGGCATAAATCCCAGCTTCCGCCCTCACAGTGTCACTTCCGGAAATCAACCACCACATGCCTGCTTTTTTTTCTTTCATCTTACTTTACGGCCGCCATTTTTGAGCCTGTTAATCTCTACGACAATTGAGGGGGGAGTAAAGAACATCCCCATGCTGTCACAGTATTGTTATACTTTACGGCAGACGGGAAAAAAACACCGTGACTATACAAGCCATGGAAATGGCAAAACGTGCGTTTCAGTCTCTGCCATTAATGCCAGCAATGTCCCGTTATATTCCGAGTGTATGTTTGTGTGGCATCCAATGTCATGTTTCTCTCATTCACAATTCAGTGTCTGCTACTAATTAATAATGGGAGTGGGTCCCAGTGCCCACAGTCAAAATGGCGGACCGTGACCGCCACCCCCAATGACGTCTCAGCCTACGATTGGTCTTCTCCTTACGTCTCATCTGCTTTACGTCTGCCGCAGCCTGTGAGCTGCTTTCTGTTGCCGATAGCGTGTGCTTGCTGCCGGTTGTTCACGCGGAGAGAAGATGAGTAAAGCGCACCCACCCGAGCTGAAAAAGTGAGTTTGGGGGTAACCAGCTCCCGGGAGGGAGGGGGGCTCCGAGCTTTGCAGGTTATGGGAGATTGTTTCCCGCCCAGCACTGAGGCCTAAAGCATGGAGTCCCCGTTGGGGTGTATTGCTCTACGAGCATGGCTGCCTGAGCGGCGAGTGCCCTCCTGTGTCTCCATAGTGACTGGATCCCCTGCTGGCAGACCCTGCAGGCACCCGGGCCACTCCGTGCAGTGCTTATGGTGCCGTGGCCCTGTAGCTTTAGCCCTGCGATGTAAACCATTGGCATTGTTTATAATTTGCCATCTTTGCACTGCAGAATTAGCACACCTCTTATGGTTATCGTGCTCACCGCAGCTAGAGGCACTTTCACAGCAGTAATTGAGTTCCAGTTGATTGCTCCATGAAATGCTTGTCATGGCGAGCCTGTGATTGACACAGTGTGGTCATTTGCCATGCATTGCACGGCAGCCTCTCAGTGCGCATTGGCTGAGATCATCAGGGTGATATTCTTAGTGAAGGAGGCAGGGCAGCCACAGTGAGACCTTTGCACTATGGGATACATAGGTAAGCAAATCTTACCCTTTAAACCCTGCCAGGAGGAGGCTATGTAGGTAAAGTGACACTATAGCGTTGAGAATACATGGTTTCTATTCCTAATGCAATGACGTTCCTTTAATTGTCTGTTGGCAAGGCGTTGTATTGCAACAGCAACGTTTTGTTGTTTGCATTGTCTAATGAACCATTTAGCGCTGTTAGGGCGTGCTATGCCGTCCTGCGTGAGCTTGGCTTAAACGCCGTTAGCGCAGCATAGCACACCCTAAGGCTTCACCCCTTTCTGCGCTCCACCTCCCTAAAAACAGCTTGCAAAACCTGCAGTTCTTTTGTCTGCTGCCTTTGCAAGCTCTCCTCTTCTAATCCCACCCAAACCTTCTGTGACTGTCCAATCACAGACTTCCCAATGCATCTCAAAGAGAAGTCTTTGCAAGCCAGTTGCTCTGGGCAATTGTTGCCTCTTGACTTCTGTGCAAATAAGCTAACCAAACCAGGAAGTAACATTATCTGTTGTCTGTTAGAAAAGCACAGAGGGGTGTAACCAAGGTAATTGATAAGTGTAGATTTCTATTGAAATCTACACTTCTTTACAAAAGGAAAATCTATAGAACACACTTTTCAGCAAGCTAAAGTGCATTAGGCGTCTGGAGTATCCTTTTAAGCAAGTCCTCCTCTGATGGTGCCCCATCACCAGTGCCAGAGGAAAACTAGGTAACCCCCCAAACCTGACTGCCCTATAAACATCCCTATTTATGGCTACACCTGGCATCACAACAACAGTATGTGTTTGTGAACTAGTGAAGTAAAACCTGAAAAAAAATCAGTACTGACTCATATCAGGCTTAAGACATTTTCTGTGAAAATTGAATTTATGTGTGAAAAAACACAAATTATGCCATTTAATATACGCTGGTTTGCCTACTTTTAATAACTTTGAAATATTCTGAGCTGGATATTCTTCTGTATATGCAGGAATGCAAACTGCATCTGTGGTAGACAGTCAGTGGTATTAAATTTTCTATAGACTCAGTTTGTATTGCTGCATATGCACAGGTGCCCTATGATTGGGAAGTCTCATCAACAAGAAGTGGAAGGTAAAAAATGAAATGTAGGGTTGTTCCACAAATGAATGGTATTTGGAGGAGTGCACTATTTGTGGAACTGGTAGTTTGTTAAAATTTGAGGTGATTTTGGATTTTTTTTTTAGGGTGGGGGGGTTTGGGATTGTTAACTCACGCCACATTAAACATTTTCTATTTTAGGTTCATGGACAAGAAGCTGTCATGTGAGTATTGCAACATTTTTACATTCATGAATGTGATTAAGTTATAGTGTTCAGGTGTCATTTTAGGGATCTTGCGTGTATTATGATACATTGAAATCTGAAATACAGATCTTCAGTTTTATAATGTATTCCACATTGCTGTACTCTAGCTGGACTAACAAAATAGTTAGAACTAGACAAATCAGACATACACATGGTTATTCAATGAAGGTATAATTCAAAGTGAATTTAATATTTACGGTCAAATAGGAAACATTCACTAATGCTTTCTATTCGGCTACTCTGGCCTTAAATTTGAAATACACTTTGACTATTGAATGTTGACACGGAGTATGTAAGGACCGTATTCAAATAAGCATGGCGTGTCTCTCTCTAGTGTTAAAATTTTTTATTTTTATTTAGTATGTGTTTGCATCTGTGCATCGTGTGTAGTATAGTTTTAGTATGTCATCCATCATGCAGTACATGATTTGAAAAGGTCTGCATAATAATGGATATGATCATATTGTATGGAATTATGTATAATTAAAATTTAAAAAAACTACTAAAATTGATGCAGTTTCTTAAAATAATTTACAGCAAGAAGTAAAACTACTAGAACAACTGTGGCACATAAATGTTAACAAAAGAGCCATTAAAATATGAAACCTCAGTGACATGCTGGAATGACCCCATTATAATGCATACTAGTCATCAGGGGTTGTCAACTTGCAGGCTGCACCAGACCTGACCGGCCTGTTACCTTATTTTTTGACATGTAAAGCATCCAGCCCGTTGCAAGGGGGAAAAAAGAATTAAGAAATGGGTTTCGTTCCTGTGTTCATTGTTTTTAAATGTTTAGCTATATGGATAAATGTGGCCCTCCATGAATACACAGACATGTAATCCGGCCCATATTAAAAGAAGGTTGCCCATCCCTGATGTAGACAATGCGTTTAACAAAATATGCAAAATCAATTTAAGTATCAAAATTAAAAGTAATTCAAATTCTTGTTACAAATCCACAGACAAGCGACAGACAATCTGTCCCCTATGTTAAAGCGTCTATTTCTGATGTATAGGATAAGTAGTTAGGACCCCAGAAGCCTTTTCAAATAGATCAGGGCAGTGGTCCTCCTTGCTTCAATATCTGTTAGAGCATATGAATGCAGAGAGGGTCCACAATTCATCATGTCTTTGATACATTTTCTTGGAATAGAGTTTTACACTGTCATTCCTGTTGACTGTACTGCATCAAGCACAACATTACCCTATTTATGTACAGTGCCGTTATTTGAATTTATGTATTTTTAATTTTTTTTTTTTTATACCTTCCAGTGAAATTAAATGGTGGGAGACACGTCCAGGGGATTCTTCGTGGATTTGATCCTTTTATGAATCTCGTAGTAGATGAATCCATAGAGGTTGCAGGAAGCGGGCACCAAAACAGCATTGGAATGGTGGTAAGATAGATCTCTTCAAACTTTGCTGTTACATTTTATCAGTCAGCTTGAGATGCACAGAATGGAAGTATCAATCCATTTTAAGATCTAGACTACAGTGTTGTGAACAACCAAAACATATGTACTATGTGGATACTCCACACAGCCTGTATAAACTTTGCTGGTTATATGCATATTTTTCCCAAGCTGGTTTGTGAGTGGGAAGCTTTTGATAGGCAGAAAACATGAGGTAATTCTTTCAGCTGGAGATGCGTTCCTGTCAGTCTGCCTGGTTCAAGACTTGGACTGTGACAGAATTTAATGGGCAGTTGTTATGGTGCATGGAGTGTTCCTTAACTTTTCTACTTGTTTATCTCCATATATAAAGGGACACTATAGGCATTATAACAATTTTATGTAATTGATTTTGTTATAGTACCTGTAGTTCTCTGGCATTTTCAGTCTATTCAGTGTCCATTTGTTAACTGGTGCGTTGCCTCTACTGGAGATATTACTAAGGCAGAGATTACACTGTTCCTTCTAGCCATACCAGCAATTTGCACTGTGATAGGCTGCAAGGAATCCATGGACACTCAGCCAATCACAACTGCACATTGCTGCTCAGTCCGATGCTTTCTCAATGGTCCAAGAAGCTCAGAAGGGATGTGTTGCGGGGAATTTTTGTTTAACAGTAAACAATTTTCCACTTCATTAAAATAAAGCGGTTACAGCGCCCACAGTGTCCCTTTTATCAAACTTGTTTAAAAAATGCAATTTAATGTTGAAATCCACACCACTTTATCCTATGAATGGGTATCTTCATCTTAATTCACATTGTCAGCGCCAAGGAATCTTATATTGTGTGTATATTGTGTGTATGTAGCGCCATCAGATTATAAACTTTTTCTCTATGATGACAAGTTGGTGCAAAGGGCAGAGTTTGTAGGAATAATTTACAGGGAATTATAATATATATATTATATAATAATTCCCTGTAAATTATTCCTACAAACTCTGCCCTTTGAACCAACTTGTCATCATAGAGAAAGTTTATAGGGAAGATAATGTACGTGGTTTTTGTCCTCCTAATTTGCAGTGTTTGCACTGATGTCTTGCCTGAACTGGTTTGACATTTTCAAAATCTTTAATATCAAGTTAAAAGAAATAAAGGATAACGCAAGTTATAGGTGGTAGTCAATGTTTTATTTAACGGTATAGTGACCATTCCCCTCTAAGATTTTATAGACCCTAGTAGCCTTTCAATTATGATCATAGAACTGTGAAAATATTTGAAATATTATGGCTCTTCATAACAAAAGTTTTTATTTGCTCTTTTTAGAATACTTCCATAATGGTGTTCAAAGTCTTGCATTATTTTTTTCATTCATTTTCAGGTTATAAGAGGGAACAGCATCATTATGCTGGAAGCATTGGAACGAGTTTAAACAGTAAAATGAAACTGAGCCTGTTAGACCTACCACCACCCCCCATCCTGGATGAGTGAATATGGCGTGTCAAGATCCTGCATTCCTACTGTGTACTTATTTTTCTTGTGTTTTCTATTAAAACTTTAAAAAAAACAAGCAGGGTACTGTTCAATTATTTGATACAGTTGAAAGTGCATTAAGTATTTTATAACCAAAAGTATTTTCTAGTGCAGGGCTTAACATTTAAAGTCCTGTGCTACTTTCCAGGCCTTAATAGTTAGTCCGTGTTCAATAAACATTATTAACAAATTTGTATAGTCAAGTGATTAAAATAAAGAATAAAAATAAAATTCCAAACCAAATCTAATCCTTTGGCTGGGTTGCACACGGTAAGGTATAAAGTAAACCAAGCCTCTTACCATATGTTTAATGGTTCTTGTCTTAAAAGCTTCCTATTCTTTGTGTGCAGCCTAGCTGTAAGATTTTTGTGTGTTGTTTGGGTTTTTATGAATACAATGTATTGATTGAAAAGGAATTCTCTTCACTAACCTGTTCATTTAGGGATATTATTTTGCAATATTAAATTTACCACAGCATGTCATAGTATGTTAACAATGGGTACATTTTTAATTTTGAGCCCTGTTCTAATTTTCATGTTTAAAGCATTAGTTCAAACATTGTGTATGTTCCTACAATAGCTTCTGGTGCAAGGAAATCACCTGTCACACTCTTCTCTCCTGAAATAGCAAAAAAAAAAGGGGGGGTGAGAATGGTAAATAAGGCACCATAGGCATTTCATATAATTGAATTGGTTACAGAGCCTGCAGCCCTATTGTACTGTCCTTCCAGTCAGTGTAAACCATTTTAACCCCTTAGTAATCAGACGTTTTTTAATTTTCTTACCGTTAAGGACCAGGGCTGTTTTTTAAATTTCTGCGGTGTTTGTGTTTAGCTGCATTTTCCTCTTACTCATTTACTGTATCCACACATATACAGTTTATCTGGCCATTAAATGGTCTTTCTAAAGATACCATTATATTCATCATATCATATAATTTACTAAAATAAATATATAAAATATAAGAATTTCAAAATACACTTTTTCTAAATTTGACACCCAAAATCTGTTGCACATCTACAACCGCCCAAAAAATCCATGCTAAATGGTTTCTAAAAATTTTTTGTCCTGAGTTTAGAAATACCTAATGTTAACATGTTCATTTGGAAAGCTATAGGGCATTAAGTACAAGTAGCACTCTGCGATTTCCAACGATGATATCGCCAGTAAAAGTGAATTTTTTTGCATTTTTCACAGACTATATTATTCCTGCGATACTTTTTACTGTTTTGAAACACAAATATTTGTGTTCAGCGAAGTCTCCCAAGTACAACAGTACCCCTCATGTACAGGTTTTATGGTGTTTTCAAAAGTTACAGCGTCAATTATATCACTTGTGTTTCATTTTTTTCACATTAAAATTCGACAGATTGGGTACGTTGCCTTTGAGACCCTATGGTAGCCCAAGAATGAAAATTACCCCTATGATGGCATACCATTTGCAATAGTAGACAACCCAAGGTATTGCAAACGGGGTATGTCTAGTCTTTTTTAGTAGCCACTTAGTCACAAACACTGGCCAAAATTTGGCATTTTTCACAAACAAATATTAACGCTAACTTTGGCCAGTGTTTGTGACCAAATGGCTACTAAAAAAGACGGGACATACCCCATTTGCAATACCTTGTGTTGTCTACTATTGCAAATGGTATGCCATTATGGGTGTAAATTTCATTCCTGGGCTACTATAAAGTCCCAAAGGCAACGTAACCAATCTGGCGAATTTCAATTTCAAATGTAACGTGCTATATTTGACCCTGTAATTTCCCAAAACGCTATAAAACCTGTACATAGGGGGTACTGTTTTACACGTGCGACATCGCTGAATACAAATGTGTATTTTATTGCAGTAAAAGCAAACCGTATTATGACATTGACAGTTAAAATGTCATGTAGAACTAAAAAAAAAATCTTCTCATTTTTTTTTCATAGTAAATTATGTTTCATAGCTAAATATTTGATATTAAATGAAAGCCCTGTTTCCCCTGAATAAAATGATATATAATAAGGTTGGGTGCATTTAATATGAAAGAGGTGAATTACGTTTGGACAGACATGTAGCGCGAATGCCAGGTTTTGTTTACATTTTGTTTCGTTCACGTGTACATTTGGCTCTGTCCTAAAGGGGTTAACACTTTGCATACACTAATTCTACCACCAGTCTTTGTCAACCTTATTTTTCACACACATTGTACTTTAGGCATGGATTCTCAGTTCCTGTTATGTGTTACTGACAAAGAACGCCCCAATATGTGTTCAGCAACATCTATGGAGTACAACAGTGCCCCCAATGAACAGGTTTTAAGGGTTTTGGAAAACTTAAAGGGGTCAAATGTAGGGCTTTTCCATGTTTCCACATTGAAATTTTCCAGATTGGTTTGCTAGGCCAATGTTGCCTTTAAAACCGTATGGCAGCCAAGGAATGAAAACTTAACCTCATCATGGCATACCATTTGTAAATGTAGACAACCCATGGTATTCAAAATGGGGCATTTCCAGTCTTTTTTAGTAGCCATTTAGTCACAAACCCTGGCCAAAATTAGCATTTATATATAGATTTTTTTTTGCAGTTTTCACACAAACTGCCATTTGACCGATATCAGTATAATACATTGAACAGCTCTAAAACACTCATTTGTGTAGAGTGCTGTCTCACAAGTATAATAGTACCCCTCAAGGTTTTTTTGGTGATTTGGAAAGTTACAGGGTCAAACATAAGATTTCTGTTTTTGTAAATTGCTATTGCCTATGAGACTGTATGGCAGGCTAGAAATGAAAAGTAAACCCACCATGACATACCATTTGGAAAAGTAGACACCCAGGGTATTCAAAATGGGGTATACCCAATATTTTTAAAAACCTAATTTGTGTTCAGCAAAGTCTCCCAAGTATAACAATCCCCATCACCCCCTCCATGTACAGGTTTTAGGGTGTTTTGGAGAGTTACAGGGTAAATCTAGGGCTTGCCCAATAGGGATGTGCATTGGCAAAAAAAGTTGGTTCGGTTCGGAAATCTGAAATTCGGGACTTTGGCAAATCCCTAACCCTAGTTGAAGTAGGGGTTAGATTCCTGTCATCATTAATTTTCCCTCCCTCTCCTGTTTTGTCACTTTCCAGAAATCTGAAGCACATCAGCACTTCTGAAATTCGACGGTTCGGCAATCCAAAATTTGGAACTTGAGCAATTCCCAACCCCTAACTGTACCCCTTAACCACAACCCTACTCCTAAACCTAACCCTAGTAGGGGTAAGGTTAGGGTTAAATTCCTGTTATTCCCTTACTTTTCCCTCCTTCTCCTGTTTTGTCACTTTTCAGAAATCTGAAGCACTTCGGCACTTCCGAAATTCGGTAGTTCGGTTCCGCACTTCCGAAATTCGGACATTCGGAAGCATCCAAATTGCCGCAATTCGTCCGAATTTATTCGGGCCAAAAATCTATTGCTCAATTCAGTTTGCCAGATTGGTTTGCTGGGTCTATGTTGCCTTTTGAGACCATATGGTAGCCCAGGAATGTGAAATAACCCCATCATGGCATACCATTTTCAAATGTAGACAACCCAGGGTATTCAAAATGGGGCATTTCTTGTCTTTTGTAGTAGCCACTTAGTCACAAACACTGGCCAAAATTAGCAATTTTATTTATTTATTGCATTTTTTGAAAACAAAAAACTGAACTTTTACTGGTGATGTCATTGTTGTGATAAGTTTTACTTTTTAACACTCATATTTGTGTTCAACGAAGTCTCCAGAGTTAACAATACCCCCCATGTTAAAGTTTTATGGTGTTTTGGAAAGTTACGGGGTTAAATATAGGCTTGACAATTAAATTCTCTGGGTTGTCTGGCAGGTCCCTCAAATTAGAATTAATAAAATCAAATATTTATGTAGTTGATAAACGTGTATGTATATATATATATATATATATATGTATATATATATATATTCCAGAGGATCCTGCACTCACTGTAATTCAGTTACCTAGCCCAGTGCTTCTCAGCATAGCATATAAAGAATGATAAGCTAGCACTGCCAGGGCTTCTTTAAAGTAAAATTTTACTTTTATTTGCTTACAAAATAAAAAAAGCGACGTTTCAGTCTGACACAGGAGACTTTCATCAGGAAATAAAAGTAAAGTTTTACTTTAAAGAAGCCCTGGGAGTTCTACCTTATTCTTTATATATAATTATAATGTATTATACATATATAGGAAATAAAAATGTATGTGTGTGTGTGTGTGTATATATATATATATATATATATATATATATATATATATATATATATACACACACACATTTTTATTTTTATATATATGTGTATATATATATATATATATATATATATATATATATATATATATACACACACAATACGTATTTTTTCCTATATATGTATAATAGAATATAATTAAAGCATTTTAGACTATAATATACATATATAATGCATACATATGATTTGACATGTAATTATTTTATTTATTTTTTTGACAGGGGGGGAGGGGGGGGGAGAAGATACCTATCATGGATCTCTCCCTCTCTTTCCCTTTCCATGCCCTCCTTTCTTGCTATTTTTTGATGATTATATATCAAATGTTTGGCTCCTGCTCCAGCCACAGAGTGTCAGATTTGCACACTTATTCGAAGAAGGTCATTATGACCAACGTTCGACGTAATAGAAGTATTGGGCTGGGTTACTTCTGTTATGATTATGAATGCATGGTTGGTTGTTGTATTTTTCTCCAGTTCGGTGGAGAAAGTTTTTATGTTATATATTTAGTGTTCCTGAGAGATAATAGGGTTGATACATTAAGTAAACAAGGTTATATAAGATCTGAATAGTTTTGCTTAATGCACGCGGGATTGTTTCTCCAACAAAAAGATCAATAATATAACATTTTTTGAAGAAAGAAAATATAAACATATGTGCAATTCAAGAAACACATTGGAGACTGCATGATAAAACCATTTTAAGTTCACAAAAAAATTCCAACCATAATGAGTGCCTCAGTGAGAGATAAGAAGAAAAGGGCTGTAGCATTGTTATTTTCAAGTAATTTAGCATTGGATATAAAATATCAAGAACTGGATAAGGAAGGAAGCTATATAATATTAATATGTGTGATAAATAAAATCACGTATACTATTGTAAATCTATATGCTCCGAACAAATCTCTGGAAAACTATATAGTCAAACTTTTAAAAAGAGTTAAATCTTTAACACAAGGGTTCTTTGTTAGTAATGGGAGATTGTAATTGTGTACCTGACATTGAAGAGGATAGATGTACAGTAGAGGAGATAAACAATATAACAAAAAATAAAAACATGCCAACCAAATTACAATCATTAATTAAACAATACTCCTTAGATGAGATTTGGAGAATACTGAACCCCACAACGAAGGACTATATGTGTTTTTCAAAAACACACCTAACCTACTCAAGAACAGACTTAATTATGGGAGATTTACAATTAGTACGCAATACTAACAATATAGAGTTCAAATATGTTTCCTGGTCCGATCATAGTCCAATAATTTTAGAAAGAGACAGATTGGTATTTTCAGTTTAATAAAGGATCAACGGACACCATGATGACCTGGTGTGCTTACAAATACACAATTATAAGTCAATTTATGAAGCTATCCGCTAAAGAGAAACATAAAAATAAGGGTAAATAGTTATCTAATTTATATAAAAGTTTAAATGATTTAAAACAACAAAATACATTGAAGCCATTAATGGAAATCACTGAGAAAATTAGTGTAATTGAAAAGATCAATAACCATCTTATAATAATTTAATTTTCCCAACTACTAAACCTGTTGGCACCATCAGGGGTCATGTCAAAGCATTTTGGGCTATTTTTTACTGTTACATATGTGCTCTGATTTAAGACAAATTTTAGTTGGCTTTGATCCTCTCAGAGGATTGTAGAGATAGATTTATTGCATTTTGCCTTTAAATAACCATATATAACTTGTGTTCAAAAGAGTCATCACTTGGGGAATGCCATACTGAGCCATAAATATTTAAAATCACAATAACCTATTTGTTCAAACTAGGACCATAGGCCAGTACAATTACTCGATTTTAGTTAATACACATTTATTTAACAAATTAGTTCCACAGAAACAAAATGGTTGATATAAAGTCATTACAAAAGGTGCTGCATACGGTTTCCTCATCCACTTCTACCATCCTATTAATTCTTTATGTTTTTAAAGACACATTGTACATTTTAGTTTTTTTATAGGAGTAATTGAACACTAAAACGTCTGTTCCCCTCAACACTCAAAAGAAATAACACTAGAATTCAACTTGGAGCTGTCTCGTCCGACAGTGCCGAGGGGGAACGTAATGCGGATGCCCATTAGACCTTCACCACAGAACAGCATCAAATCAATGCTTTCCTATAGGGATTTGAAGATGATGGATGTCCTCTTACACATAGACATTGCAGTTTCACTAAAATCATAATGATTTATATTGCAGGGTTAACCCTTTAAGGACGGAGACAATTGTACAAGTTGACCAAAATAAAACATAGAATGTGAGCTACATTTTTAAGCACCTACACATCATTTTGTTCAGGAGAAACAGGAATTTCAATTCACATCAAACATTTAAATATGAAACAATTTTATATGAATAAAATCAAAAAAAAAGGTTCTTCATGACATTTTAACTGTGAATGTTAGCTTTTACTGCAATAAAACACATTTGTATTCCATTCAATGACATTGCTATTAGCACATATAGCGACCCTACCCAAACCCAGCAAAAACCCAACAATATATGCAAGTTTCCAACCCATCTCCCTATTAAATGTGGATATTAAGCTGTATGAGAAAATCCTGGCAACCAGGCTCAGCCCTTTAGTGGCCACATTCATTCATTTTAACCAATCAGGCTTCATCAAGGGGAACCAGGGATCTGACAATACCAGACATATACTGAACACGATCCATCTTTTAAACACTAGGTCGGAGTAGGGTCTTTTTCTCACGCTGGACGCAGAAAAGACATTCGATAGGTTTAATTGGAAATACATGGTGAAGGTGCTGAGGAGATTTGGACTCCCGCCATAGAAGCGGTGATGGCATTATGTTACAAACCAACAGCTAGTGTTGCTAAAGCAGGTTTTGTCTCCCTGCCACATAACAAACGGGACCAGACAAGGGTGTCGACTACCACCTATTCTGTTTACTCTATGCTTGGAACCACTAGCCCACATCATTTGACAATCTACAGATATAAATGGAGTGGCCATAGGGAGAATATCTCATAAACTGTCACTGTTTGTGGATAATATCCTAATGGTCACAGAGCCAGAAACTACCAGCACTATAAATCAATATGACACAAAGCAAAAAACAAACCCTGCTAGAGACTTTGACTGGAGAACGGAGCATATAGGCTATCTTGGGGTACGGGTTAACAAACAATCCCAGCCCAACTCAAACACAACCACATGCACACATTAACTAACCTAAGACATTAGTTGGACAATTGGGGTAGTGAAATTATCTTTGGCAGGACACATAAATATTATTAAGATAATGTCTCTACTCAAGATTCTATATATATTCAGATTACTTCCTATTCCAATTCCTAAAAGTTATTGTAACAAAGTGCAATGACTTTTTGCATCCTTCATATGGAGCAAAAAAAATGCCAGAGTGGCAGGGTTGGTCTTACAAAACCCTTAGACAAAGGGGGCATGGAAATACCCCAAGTGAGGGCATACCACAGAGCAGCACAAGTCATCTTACATGCTTCAAAGGGAAAACTAGATTTGGTGGACACGGAAAGACAACAATTAATTTAGGAAGCTATGTTAGCCCATATGTGGACTCCGCCCACCCTGAGACAAAGTAATTTAGTCCTATTTGCCACCACTCGAGCAATTATTGCTGTTTGGAACTCACTATTTCTAACCAGGCCCGGACTAGCCAAAGGGCATACCAGGCAAATGCCGCGATAGCCATGGGCAGAGTCCGAAGAGATGAGAGATCTCCCTCACCGCCCCACAGACAGTAAAATGCAGCCAGTGGCGAGGGAGGGGAGATGACCCAGGGGAGCGCTAGCCTGCAGCTCCACTGGGTATCTCTTGCGAAGCTGGAGCTTTTCTGTGGTCACCATGGCAACACTTCAGATCTCGCAAGAGTTCACTCACCACAAAAACCAGCTGGGATTGCAGCAAGGAAAAAGGAATGGAAGGAGGGGGGATACAGCGCTATTTATTTTTTCTTACACATTACATTCCAGACAAACACTAGATCCCCTACACAACTCTGGATGATTTATTACTTATATATATATATATATATATATATACACACACACACTCTCTCTCTCTCTCTCTAGATTCCTTGTAAGCAAACACATACTACATTCCCTAAACACACTCTCTTCAACCCCTACACACTCTACATTATCTATACACACACACAGACAATTAAAGCCCGTATGCACACACTCACTACATCCCCTATACACACTATCAGGGGATACCTAGAGCATTTGGCACCCGGAGCGGATCCTGTGTTTGGCACCCTCCCTCCCCTGCCCGCATCTACAAAATCCATGTACTGTCCTGCCCCCTTCTACAAACCCCGGCAACCTCCTTCCACAAATCCCCTGCTCAGCCCCTCTTATACAAGGCCTCTGCCCAAATACAAAATACCTGCACCCCCACACACACAGTTACATGCCTGTCTGTCACATGCAGACAGTCACACATACAGTCAGAGACAGTCACACACACAGTCCTTACACCAATACTGGGCACACAGTGATCAAAACACAAGAGGAATCTGGAGACCCACAGTTAGTGTCTGTCTTCCATTACCAGTGATGGTGACTACCGTCACAATCTATATTAATAAACAAGCTGGAACAAAACTCTGCATCTTCTTTTCACCCAGATCATGTCTTGGGCATAAATTAAATTTGAATCAACTTTGGCCACATACATCCGAGGTATGGACAACGTGATAGCAGACAACTTGAGCAGAGCACAGTTGTCCCATGCAAAATGGTCCTTACATCCAAGACTATTTGTCACTCTGATAAGTTTGGAATACCAGATATAGATCTCATGGAAATGAGGGAAAACAGGAAGGTTCCAGTTTTTGCATCCCTATATTGGACAGACTATCCTCTGTTTCTAGATGTTTTCTTGGTGAAATGGAACTTCAGAATAGTATCTGCATCACCGGCAGTTGCTCTTAACTCTTCAAAATACCGTTTTCATTTTAATCTTAGGTTTAGTGTTTCATGTAACACTCGGGACTGTCTAGGCCGGGAAAGATATTTTTAGTAATTATAGCTTTTGCGTGAAACCAACTGTGGCAAGCATATTCCTTCCTGGAATGATAGGAGTTATACCTCCTTTTGCGCAGTGTGCTACTTAGCAAATTAAAGAAATAAACTAATAGTGGCAAGCTGACAGTGTGAAAGAATTTACTTTGATTCCAAGGTTCAAGCTTATAGGTGTCATATTAGATATCCTATATTAAAATTGGCTAACTTGGACTCAGGAAAGGCTTAATGCTTAAAACGACACTTAAGACCATATATAGAAAAACCAAAGAACAACTATTCGGGGTACGGCTGAATAAGTCTACAGAGGAACATAAAATAAAATATAGTATAATTCAATTAACAACATAAATTGTGCGCCAAACATGAATGCACTCACTAGATAGAGGTGAATAAATTGCTTGTAGGGTGCCTCCCCCGATGTTATGGGGGGCAGAAGGTCCCACTTTCCACTTCCAAATGGTGGGTCTGATAAACTAAAGGACTTCAATAGATGAGGGTTAAAACCCAGCAAATTTATTGGTAAAAAAGTGAGCAGTCACCATAAGCATAGGATAAAAGAAACCGCAATAGGTCCTGGTGACTGCTCACTTTTTTACCAAAAAATTCGCTGGTTTTTAACCCTCATCTATTGAAGTCCTTTATCAAACCCACCATTTGGAAGTGGAAAATGGGACCTTCTGGCCCCCATAACATTGGGGGAGGCACCCTACGAGCGATTTATTCACCGCTATCTAGTGAGTGCATTAATGTTTGGTGTACAATTTATGTTGTTAATTGTATCACACTATACTTTATGTTCCTCTGTAGACTTATTCAGCCGTATCCCGAATAGTTGTTCTTTGGTTTTTCTACATATTGTTAAGGTTGTCTTTGGGTAACGATCTTGGGAGGCTGTGCCATTATTTCAAAGCTATATATACTTATTTCACTATATTCATTTACACTGTGGTGTTATATTATATATATTGGTTTGTTTTTTTAAGACCATATATGTCTAGTTCCGGGAGCAGATAGCCCCCACCTGAGCTGTCTCTCCTAAATCAGTCTGTTCTTTCTCTAAACATATCTGTTATATGTACATGACGTTCATCCCTATGTCTTATCTGTACTCCTTTCACCCCCTTTCTACTACTGTCCTGTGAGTATTTGCACGTAAGCAATTACTTTTTAATTTATAAAAACACATACTGAAATATAAACGAGAGGCTTATTTTGAACCCCAACAGGTGTCTGAATTCATGCTCCTCCACCTGCACTTGAAATAACAAATACTGCCTTGAAGATACCAAAGATCACTTTGGATCTATATCACCAGGAATGACATTTACCCCTTTCTGAACAGTGTGCTAATTACCAATAGATGCTCTAGCAATCAAATATATGATGATCACTGTTTAGCTTGTCTGATCACTTTGTTTAAATGTATGTTTCACTTTGTATCTAATTTTAGTCTCCTGCTTCAGCAGTTTGCCTATATGAGCCAATTTATTTACTTCTATTTTTTCATTGCCAGTCCAATCATTACAACCCCCATCAATCATATCCAGTGGGTGTCTAGATGTTACACATGTGTTTAGTGTGGATGTTATTCTCGCTTAATATTTATTTTAGTTTTTTTTTTTAATTCAATATTAAAATGTTTTACTCCTATACTTGATTTAATCTTGATAGACAATATATTTCTGGTGTTCACTTGTATTTTGGGGCCCCCCTTTAGGAAATATTTTTGTTTAATTAGGTTCAAGATTTTCTCTAATGAACTTCTTATTTTTCTAGCTTTCCAAAGAGCAGACAAGGCAATGGTTTTGGCAATAACAACATATTGGCCAGAACGCAGTTGGTTTTCGGAGTTGAAAACAACTGATCCAAACATCTTGGGAACTGCTCTATCCAATTAACTGCTAGTGAACAGAGAACTGCCATACAAGACTGTGCGAATATTCCAATTGATGGCTTGGCTATTGCAAAGCTAATTCTCCAAAATCAAGTGATTCAAGAACATATGATGAATTTTCTCCTGACTTCAACCAAAAGGTCAACATCCAAGATTTATCTCAGGATTTGGAAGATGTTTGTTTGTCTGGTCCATCATTCCATCCATTCAGATCATTCTGAATTTCCTTCAAGAGGGTTTTTCTGCTGGGCTTAGTGTCTCTACTCTGAAGGTTTAAATTCCAGGCCTCATTTGCCGGTTATAGTTTTGGATTGCAATATCTTCATCAGGAAATTAATTTTTATTTTTTAATATTCTTTATTTTTTTGTGCTTGACGATAAAGTTAGGACAGTATACAGCAGAGATATTGCAATTAATTAAAATGACAGGTCAGCTTTAATGTATACATACTGCAGCATATTTGAAAACATGTTATAGCATTGAGTAGACAGGCTGTGTGCATACAATTAAAGCCAAAAGGGTAGAGAGTATTAAGTAAAGAAAAGTAGCAAAGCATAACCAAGTGGACTGAGTCCACTTTGAGGCCCCCGGGGTGGTGGTATAATAAGAAATGCAAGGTTATAGCCTAGAGAAATAAAATATTAACCCATAAGGTTAGACAGTAGTACATACAAATCCCCCATCAGATTCCTTGAAGAGGAAAGAGGAGAGTGACCAGAACCCCTTCAGTGCCCAGTCTGTGAATCCGACTCATCCAATTAATGGCCAAAGCACTTTCCCACAACAGGGGAGTTCACCATAGGGCCCGAGCCCAGATGCAGACAGGCTGGCCAAATCAAAGGACAAGATGCAGATATTCCGCAGCTGCTCAGACGGATCATGATTCAGCTTTGGGCCACAACAGACGCACCTCAGGCACCTTAAGAGTCCCAGCACTGGTTTCCATCTGCATGCTGCCTTCATTTGGAGAGATTAAAGCTTCCCATCTAGCCGCGATCTTGGGGCCCTCAACTTTGTCCAGGCCGCAGATGTCTACTACGTGTTCAGAATCGGTGTGGTGGTAAGTGGATAGTCAACTGCTGTGGGGCAGGTTGATGCATCCTCTACTCTATGTTCCACCACAATTAGTCAAATTTAGCCTAGACAAACTTTGGTTGTTCCTCGACCACATTTGGGCACTGCATGGTGTCCCCAAGCTTGATGGGTCACTTGATGTCCCTGCAGCCTCAGTGACTTCTCCCACTGCTCCTAGTAGGTGAGGATAGCCTTCCAAGGGTGAAGCGGGATCACCCCCTCCGGTCCAAGGTGGGGTTAACGGGGCGCCTGATGAGAACCAGTGGGCAACTCTGGACTTGGCGCCTCTCCCGCCCGGTGCGCTTAAGGCTGCATGGTCCAGATTGTGCTGCAGATCAGCTTCGGTCGAGGTTGCATTCTCAGTAGTGCACTGCAGTCAGGTCAAGAGACAGGTATGTCACTGAATTAGAGTTAAATTGAGCATAAAGAAGCTGAAAACTGCTTGCATCGCCAATATAAGTGAGGAGCTCAAACCAGACATGTCTCTCCACCATGGAAGTCAGGCCCTGTTTTTATTAGGGGTTTATTTAAAAACAGCTTGCAAAAGCTTCAGATCATTTGTCTGCAGCCTTTGCAAGCCCTCTACTTCTTCCCCAGTCCAGACTTTCTGTGGCCGTCCAACCACAGACTTCCAAATGAAGCTCAATGAGAAGCTCTGGGTAATTGTCTGCCTCAAGTTTAGCTCTACTGAGCTAGGCAACCAGGAAGTAACAAGACTAGGGGGTGTAACATGGTTAATTTATAAAATTGCCAATATCGATTGAAATTTGCATTTTTTGTAAAAAAAAAAAAAGATACACTCTTCACACATAAAGCACTTCTGCAAGGAAGTGTTCCTTCACAATATGAAAAAAAAAAAAAAAAATTTTCAAGAAAACTTCTGCTCAAAGTTATCCTGCCAACAGATATTCTTTAAACAGGCTTTTCAACAACTTGCAAAAAATAGAAACACAGTGGTTGGTAGGCATACTACTCCTGAATGATACTAATACTAAATGCAACAAGAAAAAAAAAAAAAAACTTGAAAAATCAGGAGTAAGAAGGGGGTGATTATTATTATTATGTTTACCGTTAGAGTAAAGCAATAGGCAGTCCTATTAAAAAGTGTTTATAAACACTATATGCCCTTACACCTAATCACTCTAATGTACAATAAGAGTGAATAAATGAAAGCCAAAAAAAAAAAAAAATCACATATAAACAGAAGACAGTAAATGGGACTATTCTCTAAACAGTTTAATGCTTTAATACCAGTCCTTATTTTTTCATTAAAAAAAACAAAAAAAAAAACGCCCTCTAGTGGTAGAGCGTAAAAAAAAAAAAAGTTTACTTTTGGTGATAGATGCAATGGAATGGAGGAGATTTCACACACAGCAAATTATAGAATGCCCAATATACAGTTAGATATGCACAAAGAAGTCAGAATGACAGAAAGAGTATGCTGTCCTCAAGACTTGAAGGTATGAATGAAACATCGATACCAGGCTTTCGAGTGTAGTGATATTCTTTCTGCTGTTCCAGACCTAACAGGGGTTAGTAAGAGAGACCCATGAGGAATGTAAAGGTAGTATCTCTTAAAATACTGCCCATAGCCCTTTGTCTTATTTACCGTAAATCTACCTGTGTGAGTAGCAAGCTATTAAAGGGCAAGAGGCACAGAGCGGTAAGGTCTAGATGAAAAAGGGATATTGTGATCTATTTCCCTACGGTGCCTTCGAGGGCACCCTTTAATGAAAAGCACATTTACTCTCAAGGGAAAAAACACCTCCCCCCCAGTAGTAAGGAATGCGGACTGTATTGGTAATTATAAGGGAGAATTGGTAAGCGATGTTCTACTAATAACGGTCGTCCAGATGATATAAAATCTAGTCTTTTGAACACATGGCAAGCATGGTACATCTGAGCTGTGTAAGTTGACAGACTTCAGTGCTATCTGTAGCTAATAAGCCGTGGAGTATTATGAGAAACTCTTGATAAAGTGTTAGAATTTGCACCTGTTAGTGCCCTTGACGTGTGTTTCGCCTTACTGGCTCATCATTATCAAGACTTTCAAAACATACTCCAAAAGGTTTATTTTTGCCCATTACTGTTTTATTTAGGACGGTCAATTGTTTTACTCTAACGGTAAACATACTAATGATCACCCCCTTCTTACTCCTGATTTTTTGTTTGTTTTTTCAAGTTGCATTTTCATCAGTCTTGTAATAAGTATCAGAAGCATATAGCCAAGTCAGATTTTATAATGACTGTAAAATAAAATATGGAACCTCCAGTGTCTATTGAGATTTATTAAATTGTTATATTTCAGAGAAACACATCTAAATCCCCAAGGAATAAATCCTCACATTTTAAGAAAGATTAGTTGTGTGCAATAAAAGAAGCATTGTCACACTTTCAAATATAGCCTCCCACATACCACCCTGCTCATTATCATCGTTTAAAGCCAATTACAATTCAGACTTGAATCGCTCCACCAAGTCCTCTTGGTCAATCTGTCCATTAATACCAAACCACCTATGATAGGAAAGCAGGGCTACATTCTTGGCAGACAGAGCACTTAATTCGATACCACTTGCTGCCAATTCTATGCTGTTAATGTAATAGATCTGATCATGAAGTATAATAGGTGGCAGTTTTCCTGGAGGGTTGTACTGAGGAAATGCCAGCCACTTTTTTGCACTCACTGCATGGTAAGATGTAAACAGCAGATTAAGTTGATCTTTTGTTAGTGGATCTGGAGAGGTAATCTTCCACACCTTTTGACCGGTGGGTTGTAAAGTTCCAGGTGGTCCTTTCACTGGATCCCCAAGACCAATACTGTCAAAAAACAACTTGGGATTTTTTGTGGTTAAAATGTCTGTAAGTCCAAGTTGGGACGGTTCTATAAAACCAAAGAAAGAACTGTTAATTTGTCCGTGAACAAATGTGGTGACAGTCTGAATGTAGCTATTAGAGGAGGTATCTATGGGAGGACTGAAGCCATCAAAATTGATATTGGATATTTCTTTATTAATAGGTGCTGCTATGATCACAATGTTATACATGCCCAGATGGGGACCAGTGCTCGTCTCATAACCCAATTTGTACAGTTTTTCAATACCTCCTGCAAGGAAAAAAAAAACCATAGTGAGGTAAGGATTTTAATTACACTGCTTTCTCAAACCATAGTCTTAAACATGACAGGACATACCGTATATACTCGAGTATAAGACAAGTTTTTCGGCACATTTTTTCTGCTGAAAAACCCCCACTAGTCTTATACTCGAGTCACTGTCTGTATTATAGCAACTTACATTGCCATAATACAGACAAGGACCGCCGGGCACATTACAAGCCCGTCGGTCCTGTTGGGGGCCGGCAGCGAGCTGTAACTTACCTTTCCTGCAGCTCCTGTCAGCTCCCTTCTCCTCCACAGTAAGTCTCAGTAAGTCTCCGCTCCGCGCGGCACTCAGACCGCGAGACTTACAGTGGAGGAGAAGAGAGCTGACCGGAACGGAGAAGAAGGGAGCTGACAGGAGCTGCAAGAAAGGTAAGTTACAGCTCGCTGCCAGCCCCCCTCCTACACAGCCCATGCCACTGGACCACCAGGGAATGAGAGCCCCCCTCCCTGGCCATGTATCAAGCAGGGAGGGGGGACAAAAAAATATAAACAAAAATGTAAATAATAATATAATACAAATTTTTATAATATTAAAATAAAATAAAAATAATAATATTAAAAAAAACAAAATGGGATATTAAAATAATAATAATAATAATTAAAAAAAATAATAAAAATGCCCAGCCCCCACCAAGGTTACACACTCTGCATCACATACACACACTGCATTCATATACACACACACTACATTCATACACACACACACACACACACACTCTGCATTCATTATATACACAAAATAAATATTCAATTAATGGGGATCTAATTTTATTTAGAAATTTACCAGAAGCTGCTGCATTTCCCACCCTAGTCTTATACTCGAGTCAATAAGTTTTCCCAGTTTTTTGGGTAAAATTAGGGGTCTCGACTTATATTCAGGTCGACTTATACTCGAGTATATACGGTACATAACTTTGTCATGTCCAATTGTTCTCAAAATGGATGACAGAAAAAATAAAAATTGAATATGAACACTTTCAAAGGGTCACACTAAACAATTACTTCCTCGCTGTAAGTGTCAAAGAAGGGATGGAAGGGGTAAATAAATGGAGATGTGCTTCTTCAAGTCTCTGTCGCACAGCAGCAGGGAAGACTAGAGACTAACGGATGAGTTTCAAACACGGTCTGTCCCAAGGTGTGTGTGTATACGACTGAACAATCGTGTCATATATTAAAAGTAAGGATGAGTTTTTCTGTTTTTTTATTTGTTTTCATTAAAAATATATTTCTTAACAAAATTAGATGAAAGTAATATTATGCTAGACTTGTTTGATTCATATTTTAATATTGGCAAATTTGTGTTTTTTAGGTGATGCTTCTTTGACATTTAAAGGGGAAGTGTCTTCTAATGCTATAGCTGCTACCTTTTTACAGGCATCGTTGGCTGCACATATTTTCTAATGTTTTATATTCTTTAGCGTGCTTCCTTAGTTGTGTTACTTCATTACTACAGCATGTAGTAGGGAGCATGACACTAACAATAAAGATCCGACAAACAGAAGGCTCCACAAACAAAAAATATAATGAATGAGAGGAATAGGGACGACTGAACAACGGGAGCACTGCCTGGAAGGAGAGTGACAATTAGCGGAGGCAGTGTCATGGAGCAAGCGGGTACCAATGTCACTGGACACATTCCTCCAGATGTAACTTGCTTTCTGAATTACTGGATATGAAGAAAGGAAAATGGAGTGTCCCTCAATCTGTGTGAAGTTAAATAGACGTATGGGACCAATATAGGAATGTGTAATGGTGTATGTGGGATTCAGGCCACCTGGCAATATCTCTTTACATTATGATCATCATCTCAAAGACAAAGGGATGAAGAAAAAACAGGAGGCTACCAGGTAAACCCCCAGGTTCGGTTAATAATTCTCCTCTCTCTTGGCATTTGCAGTGGGGAAAGAGGAAACTAATTTGCTTTCCTCCATAATATTAATGGTGTCCAGGGGACCCGTTTTTGGAGCTATGCTTACAGTAAACATTATTCTGAAGTTTGTAATCTTTTACACAGAAAAACAGAACCATAGGGAATCTACCAGTGTACATTGTATCTCTCTCCTTAATTCATACTATAGTGTTCTTTAGATATGTTTAGCTCACTCACCAGTCTTTTCCTACACAGAGGAAACTGTGCCTTTAATTAGTTCTTTAGATATGTTCTTTAGATAGGATTAGTTCACTCACCAGTCTTTTCCTGCACAGAGGTAACTGTGCCTTTAATTAGTTGGGCCTCCGAGGCTTCAATAAGGCCTGGACAGACAAGCTTATTACCACCTTCAATTGACCAGAGCTTAGTATAAGTAGCAGTCAATGTCAACGCACCTAAGAGGAAGTGAGGCACACGGTCTATTAAACGTACATTTCTAATTGATTAAAGAGCAAAGATTGAAGTGTAGTTAATACAAAGAGTCTCAAAATGCATAAGGGAACTGAGCACACCTTTTTGAGAAAGGCATTTAAATACCCTGGAATTGGCATGCCCTACATAAGAAGGCAATAGTAAATAGGGTTCCCTATGAAGTATTTACAAAAAAATAGTTCAGACATCCACATAATGTTATCTTTTAATTCCAGTAGACGAGTGGCTCTTTGCTATCTTTGATTATAACTATATTGTATTTGACAAAGTACCCATGACTGCTATGCTTACTTTTGATTTGCTTTCTGTAAAAATAAAATGCTGATCAAACTAAATTTTGGAGGGGGTGAAGTGACAGACAGACAATCATGGAATGCCAGTAATAATCATGAATTGTTTTCCTCACATTTTTATAGCTCTCCTAGCCAAGCCTCCACCTGTAATTTATGAGTGAAGGGGGTGGCACTCAGCTGTGATCCCTGGGCGTGTGCGTCTGAGGGGAGGAAGAGGGTCTATTTTTGTACTGGGTTAGTTTAGAATGCCCTCAGACTAGTATTAGAAATCACATTTTGTTTGTGCATGGGGTACCTCTAATAAATTGCACTTTCACAGCCCACTGTTGTAAGTGCATCTAGCTATAGTGTCGCTTAACAGACGTAACCCTGCACGGGCAAATGTAAACACCAACACTAACCTGCACTTCAGTTTGCAAATAGTACATGTAACATAAAAAACAAAACAAAATATCATTATATTTTTATGTGCTAAGATGTACGGACAGCAATGAAATACACGATTCTCTCACAGAATCATCTACTTCATACTCATCAACCAGTCCTAACTGGGAGCTGGGTGAAGTTTAAGCCCCAAATCTCTGGCAAGGTGTCCAGTGCAATCTATCAGAGTAAAAGGTGGAAAGAAAAGTGGATATAAAAACAGGTTTTGCAAATTCTGCTGAATGCAATATTTTATTTCTGCTCATACATCATATGCATGAAAAATGTTACATTTTAGCCTGGAATGTTCCTTTAATACGGAGTGGTTTTGTGTTTCCATTAAGATCCCTTGGCTATAAAAACATATGTAAGGCTATTAAGACCCAGTGTGGCATACCGTATAAATAATGATTGCATACAGCCTGTGAACATCTATATGTACATACTGTGTACTAGAAGATATAATAAAGAATTCACAAGCTTTTACCGCATTGTGAACGTAAGATGCCAGTATAGCAGAGCATCACAGACAGAGGTCTTTGTCAATATCCAGGTGTGCCTCAGAGGTAAGTATGTTTTAGAATAATCAGGATTATTCACTAAATGAGAATTTAACATGAAGGGAGTTTCAAATTAAATTTGTTAATAGCCTAATAGGAAATTCTCACTTTCGATAATAACCCTGTACATCTCTACAGTTTGCAAATTACTCAACATTTTTATTTTGATTACTTGAAGGGAAATTTACATTGACTAAATTAAAACGTTTCTCTTTAAGACAATCTCTGGCCATCTTGTTTTGTTCTCAGCACAATTCTGTATTTAAGAATGGCCTTACCAACAAATGCATTGATTCTGGGTAACTGAGAGAAATCGTGCCTTATAGCAGGAGTTACAATTTCATCAATGTATTTTTTTGAGCAGCCAGCTTTCTGCAGGGAATCATCAAGAGTCATGTTTAATTTTATTGATAAATCCTCGCCCCCCAAGGCATGAAATAGCTTTTCTGCGCTGGAAAATGAATAGTCATAGTTCTGATACTGATAGATCCTGCAAAACAAGAAAAATATATGTTTAATTGATGAATTGGCAACATTGAAACATTACAGGGACTTAATAGGTACCCATACCACTTCATCTTAACAAAATGGTCTGGGCGTAGTGCCCTATATTGAAAATGCCTGTTTTTGCAGAAATGGCAATGTTTTCATTGCAGGGTTAACATGCCTCTAGTGGCTGCCTTCTTGACAGTCACTTGAGGAGCTTTCACAGCTAAGTCATTTAAAGTGTTAAACTTGTTAATACATCAAATGACTTGTCTCCCAATGCTTCACTTTGGATTTGTGAGATCAGAAATCTTGATGATCTCATCCAGGAAGGCCAAGCGGCACCACAGAGCAATCCTTTCCTCCTTTCAGGATGGAGAAGGGAACAGAACATGTTTTGGAATACTCCAGATTGTAACGTCTAGGAAGCCCTATCTGTATGTTTATAGGTACAAATCTACAAATATGTAGTTACTTTATAATTGAGCGACATACATACATTTTGTGTCATTTTCAAGCGGGTGACACTATTATCGCAGGTAGATAACCTGTAGATTTATTATTTTGTTCCTGCACCATAGCACTGGCCCCTTAATGAATGTAACTGATTTAGTTCTATAACTATTTATAAAAAAAACAAAAAAAAACAAAAAAAAACAGATACATTATTGTTCTGTTTTAAAGGACCATTATAGGCACCCAGACCACTTCAGCTTAATGAAGTGGTCTGGGTGCCAGGTCCAGATAGGATTAACCCTTTTTTCTGTTAACATAGCAGTTTCAGAGAAACTGCTAGGTTTACTTATGGGTTAATCCAGCCTCTAGTGGCTGTCTCATTGACAGCCGCTAGAGGGCTTCCGCGCTTCTCACTGTGATTTTCACAGTGAGAAGACACTTGCGTCCATTGTAAATGCTTTCCTATGGACTGGCTGAATGCGTGCGCAGCTCCTGCCGCGCATGCGCATTCAGCCGAAGAGGAGGAGAGCTCCCCGTCCGGCGCTGCAGAAAGAGGTAAGTTTAACCCCTTCCTCCCCCTAGAGCCCGGCGGGAGGGGGACCCTGAGGGTGGGGGCACCCTCAGGGCACTATAGTGCCAGGAAAACAAGTATGTTTTCCTGGCACTATAGTGGTCCTTTAAGATTGAATGACATATGAGGCTTGTTATGAGAAATAGAGATTCACGTAAACCTGTTCCTGATAGACGTATCTTGGAATACTGAATGCATTTTTTGCTTGATACAATGGATTTCAGAAGACTGCATGATTATATGACAGATTGAGGGTTTTCTTGCACATAATTAGATAATGCAAGTCAGGAATCATTTTAACAATCCCAAACTGAATAAAAGTGGCGCAAAAATAACGAATAAAGTGCAAGTAACAACACCCCAAAAAGGTGTAGTAATCAAACACATGCAGCAATCTATATTGATCCCTGATATAAAGATTTCCAGAACAAACAAATCTAATATACAGGTGTGCATATAAAATATGTATAAAATCAACAGTGGAGACATGAGTAAAAAATAGTACATATATAAGTGACTTAATGTATCTAGCCAAAATGGAAACATTCTTCCTATTTGCAAGTGTCACCAGAAACACTGATATATAGTAAATAATATAGAATATACTTGCACAAATATTGGATGGACATTCTTAATAATTTAAAACACAAAACAGAAGAAAATTCTAGGGCATCATTGTGATACACAAGCAATATATATAAAACCCTATAGGAAAGAAACTCACAAATATGGAGTGGTTGAAGTACCACTCCAAACTATTGAGCCTAGGGTGTATCACACCCTTGTGTACGTTGGATCCAATCAAAGCTATCAAGAGTACTCACCACAAGATGAACATGAAATCAATATTTTACAACAGTAAATTTGTTTTGGTGCTTAGAGTATCCCTTTAATGAACGGAATCTGTGTAAACTATATAAAAGATAAACAAATTCAGAGATGTAATATATAGGCTAGCTTTCCTCACTGGTTAAAGTAAACCTATAATCACATTTTTTTACTTACATTAAAATCGGCTCCAAAAACATTGAATACATCAAGTATCACTGAAATACATATATTTAATGTAAAATATCAAGATATACTCACCATCGGTCCTGCGCCGACAACTTCTGAGTTTCATGGGTGTTACTCTTCTTGTAACACCCACCACCGGTCCGTCCTTTGTGGAAAACTTCCTGTATGACCCCAACAGACTGGCTTTGTTGCCAGCATCTGAATGGAGTGGAGATGGCTAGAGAGTTTCCATAGAAACCATTCAATGTTGTTGCTATAATTGGGAGAGCAGAAGAACTGCCTGTGGGAGGTCTTTTCTGCTATACCTTGTCCGTCAATTCTGCAGCATAGACTCTGTGCTAAAGATTTGAGTGAAAGGTGGAAGAAATACTTTTTTGTTTTTAAATGGGGATTATTCCTAAACTATACATTTGCTAGCAAATCTGCTACCACAATGAATAGATTAAATGTGATGCTGTTTTGAAAGATCATAACTAGTTTGTGGTATGGCAGGTATCCTTTATCAACAGGTAATGTGATAAATGAAGGATTCTCACAGACAATCTGGTGGGGTGGTAGTGAAAGAGGAGCAAGAGCAAATGAACAAGAACGGAGTATATTAGGTAAGGGAAAGAAAAAATAAGGAGGAATAAAAATAAAAGGTAAGCATCAAGAAAACTAAGGAGGAGTCAGCTGTGGACAGGGGAGTAAGAGCTTAGTGCTTGGAAGGTTCCAGGTCACAGTAACAGAAAGGTCAGATCCAATTATCACAACTGTCTGTAGGCCATTTGTCAGTTTTGCGGCTGTAAGTTTAATTCAGCTCTGGCTTTCACATGTATTCTAGTTTATTATAAATAGGAAAGGATGCATCACACCAATAAAACAGCATACAGTGATGGGAAAAAAGTATCTGATTCCCTGCTGATTTTGAACGTTTGCCCACTGACAAAGAAATTCTCAATCTAGAATTTTAATGGTAGGTGTATTTGAGCAGTGAAAGACATAAACATAACAAAAAGAAAATCCAGAAAAATGCATGTCACAAAAGTTATAAATTGATTTGCATGTCAATGAGTGAAATAAGTATTTGATCCCCTATAAATCAGCAAGATGTCTGGCTCCCAGATGTCTTTTAGACAGGTAACAAACTGAGATTAGGAGCACTCTCTTAAAGGGAGTGCTCCTAATTTCAGCTTGTAACCTGTATAAAAGACACCTGTCCACAGAAGCAATCAATCAGATTCCAAACTCTCCACCATGGCCAACACCAAAGAGCTGTCCAAGGATGTCAGGGACAAGATTGTAGACCTACACAAGGCTGGAATGGGCTACAAGACCATCGCCAATCAGCTTGATGAGAAGGTGACAACAGTTAGTGCGATTCCATCGCAAATGGAAGCAACACAAAATCCGCATCCAGCAAAAAATTGAAAAATCTGAATCCCCTGCCTCTGGCTGGGGACTCAGATTTTCCAACTTACCTCTCTCCCTGCAGCCAGCCTCTCCTGATGATGTCAGGAGGAGGGGGCGTGACTTTCACTGCTCTTCTCCCAGGACCGCTGGGGAGTCACACCCCCTCCTCCTGACATCATCAGGAGTGGCTGGCCGACTCCACTGTATGCAGGCTGATGCTCCTGCTGACCTCTGCCGCCCCTTCCTCAGCCCATGTCCTCCTGCCTCAGCCCCTGTCCCCCTCCTCATATGCAATAGGCAATTTTCAGTATTGTAAATGTAATGGTATATTTTCCAATGAAGTGTCAGTACTACTTTAAGTTATTCAAGGGGAAAAGAATGTCGCAATTGAATTTTCAGAAGGTGTTTCTAATATATTACACACTGACTGTATGTTGCATATGAAAATAACTATTAAACATACATACCTTCCAAATTTAGTCAGCAAGTCTTCACCCCATATGTACATGCGCATATAATTTAGCCCGTAGAACCACACCAATTTGATGATATTAATAAGTAGCCAGTCGCTCTGCTGGAAAATTATTTCATTTCCATTGTAAATGCCAGCAAGGCTATTCCTGCATGGGCGGACAGAGAGACCTGCAGATGAATATATTCAATAGTCATCAATTCAGCTCTCCATGGAAACAGATTACAAAACAAAATTGTACATCTCTTTGGCATCACAGTACACAGGATAAGATAAGATATCACAAAACACATTACACTACTAGTAAACAGTATGGTTTTGAGGTCCACGTGGCATTTAATAGTAGCAAATAAGTGTAACAGGATAAGATTTCTCACAATGCTACTAAAATGACCAAAATAAAGGTGCCTTTATTGTATCTTGGAGTGCCTGGACCATTTTCTATTTTTTCCTTATCAAATGCTACTAAAATGCACCTGTCAGACAAGGTTTTAAATCGTAATTTTTAAAATACTGGTTATATTATTAGTGCAACTAAATGTATAGTTAAATTCTACAAATCAAAGTGGAACGTTTGTATGCAATCACCCTAATTTTAGATAAGTTTTAGATGAATCTCATGATGTCACAAAAAAAGAAGGAATATAATAATAATAATAATAATAATAAGTATTATTGTGAAGTATTGCTTTAAAAGGTGATTTATACAATTTATTTAAAAAAAATCTCTTGCAGGTACACTCACATTCAGAGTCCAGATAATATTGGCACTAATGTGAAGCACTTCTGTACCATTACGGTGGTACATTACCCTCTTCTATACGTTTCCTTTGTGGCTTTAAAAAAAGAATAGGAGTAGGGGGGCGGAGCCAAGCCAGCGAGCTGACAAGTCTTGCCTCGCATGAGCTCCTGCTGCAACGGCTAAACTGTCGCTGCTAACTCGGGCTGCAGTGCTGGAAATCTTCCGTAACAAAGCTAAACGGATGGGTGAAGCAGACCCCAGCAACAAAGCAAGAGACACTCGACAACATTTTTGACCGCTTCTGGGACAAGCTGCTGACCCGTATTGGACCAGCTATGACTACCCCCATTCCTACTGAACAGCACCACGTGCGCACTGAGAGGAGGCCTGGGAAACCATTACAGGGCGCAAAGCGATCCTCCACCTCAGCCATCCCCATAAGATGCCCACCCGGGTTGGGAGCAACAAGGGCCACAACCCACAGGTATTGGCCACACAGGTGCAGGTCCACAAGGCATAAGCGACGACACACCACAACCGACAGCAGGACCCATCGCACCATCCCGACAGGGAAGACCTTGGTCCTCACTGGACCCAGGCTAGTGGCAAAAGGGTACCAGCTCTCACACAGCACAGGGCCAGAGTGGTGCCTCACTTCCATGATGCTACACTTACCCCCCCAATTGGACTGAGCTCAAGCAAAAGAAATAACATTCGCAGGGGTATCGGATGACTGCTCACTTACCGTACCGAGAGGTTGGCATGGCAACCCGCAACCTGGGTCCAAAGAAGCAACGACAAGGACTCACTCAAATATTAGCGAGGAGACATGCCTTAGCGGCCTGTGTAATGATATGAAATGATATGCCTAACTCTTCCACTTTTACCTTTATTTTCATGGTTTACTATAACACTTTATTCTCACGCTTAGAATACTATAAAATGTGCAAGTCCTATCTACTTCCCACTACACAGTGCGATGCTAAGCCTGAGGAATGCCTTTGGGGTACCTCAAGCCTGTTTGTTATACTCTTTGCACGACAAAAATACTAAGTAAAAAAAAAAAAAAAGAATAGGAATAAAAAAATCTGTTGTGCAGAACGTATGAGTTTGATAAATTAGAAAGTTACAATAAAACAAACATGCTCACCTGGTACTGAGCCTGAGTATACCTGGTTCTGGATGTATGCAAACTAGGTGTCAGTTAAAGGGACACTCCAGTGCCAGGAAAACAAATCGTTTTCCTGGCACTGCAGGTCCCCTCTCCCTCCCACCCCCCATCCCATGTTGCTGAAGGGGTTAGAACCCCTTCAGTGACATACCTGAGACCAGCGCCGTTGTCCCTTGGTGCTGGTTTAGGGTCCGCCTCCGCTCCTCCTCCGCTGACGTCATCCGGCGGGGGAGACCGATTTCACATGCGCGGCCGCCGACGGGGAAGACCTAGTGCGCATGCGTGGCAATGCCGCGCACGCGCATTAGACCTCTCCATAGGAAAGCATTGAAAAAGCTTTCAATGCTTTCCTACGGGGATTTTATCGACGCTGAAGGTCCTCACATAGCGTGAGGACGTCCAGCGATGCTATAGCACAAACCTGTGCTATAAACCAGGAAGTGCCCTCTAGAGGCCTTCTCTAGTATACAGCCACTAGAGGAGGAGTTAACCCTGCAAGGTAAATAATGCAGTTTATGAAAACTGCAATATTTACAGTTGCAGGGTTAAGGGTAGTGGGAATTGGCACCCAGACCACTCCAATGGGCAGAAGTGGTCTGGGTGCCTAGAGTGTCCCTTTAAGGGTGACACAAAAGCTTCTTGAATAATCAGAGTAGTGGCTTTCAAGAATATCTGTAAATGTTGCTTTATTAAAAAGATACATACAACCTACAAATAACAGTATAAAATAAAATGAACTGGCGTCACTCCAGCCCAGCATCATTAAACAGGGCACGAGTAGCGCCACCATCCAATTGAGGAAGCCAGTGGGAGAAACATATGGATGAAGAGGATTCCAGTTCAGTTTATTTTTTACTATTATTTGCAGGCTGTGTGCACCTTTTTATTAATGTATTATTTGAATTACTGAAATCCCTGGAAGCTACTTTTTAGATTTTTCGAGGGTCTCTCGTGTTAATTGACATCTAGGCTGCATGCACCCAGTGCAAGGTATCCTCAAGCTCAGTACCAGGTGAGCAAGTTTGTATTATTATAACTTGCTAATTTATCAAACTTCTACATTCTGCACAATATGTTTTTTTGTTCATATTCTTTTTTATTCTTTGTTTTTGCTCAGGTTGCATAGTAAGCAAGACATAGGCATTGTGCTGCCTGTTCAGTTACATAGTATAAAAGCATAAAAAGAACATTTGGCAGACATCTACCAGCATATCAAAGGAATAAGTGCAACCTGAGGTTTTTTTTTTAAAAAAAAACAATAAAAGAAACGTTAGCACTGGATTCAATGCAGATAAATATTCTTATGCACTTTAAAGGTGCGAGAACCCATGCTGCGCTCTAAGTGTGCCACGGGCAATTCCAGAACAGATAATGAGATCTTGAAGGAGACAGGCACAGGCAGGGTTGTAATGGGGGATAGAACAACAAAGCAGATCCGATATATAATAGCCAACGGAGCCAGATTAGGGAATAGGGAAACATGGAATGAAGAAAAACAACATGCAATATGTAGTAAAACTTAAAACGACAGTCAGCTCAGACTGGTTTAAGCTGGAGGATCTGCCGGCCCAGCTAAGGCTTGTCTCAGAACAAACGGTGAGACTGCACCAACCGCCCAAGGCTTGCATCCTTGCGAGGGAAGCGACTCTGCCGGTATCCCCAGTGTTTGAAGAAAGGCCGGTGCCTTTTGAGGGAGAGTTAGTGGGAACATCTTGCCATCCTTTTCTGCTAGTGGCCAACGTGGGCCCCAGTTGTATGAGATTTACTATTCTTTTTGTAAGACCCGAAGGAAACATATAGGAGAGGGTAGTGTATCAACATTAAAGGTACTGAAGTGCTTCACGTTAGAGCCAATGTTTAATGGTGAGTGTACATACTATAAATCACATTTTAAAGCAATACTTCACTATTATTTTTATTATCCTTTTTTGGGTGAGTCATGAGATTTATCTGACACTCATCTAAAATTAGGATGAGTGTTTTTGTTATAGGTTGCATGCAAGCGCACCACTTTGATTTGTAGAATTTAAACTATAAATGTATATGCACTATTACGTTAATGTGTGGTGTGACAGAAAAAAATCCACACAAGTGTTGTAGGTGATTACTTCATGGTTATCATTATATAAAGAAACACCATTCACACTCAGATAAGCGTCTCAATACTTAAATCTATTTACGAGTGTACATGTTATATTACCCTGTGAATTCCCTACTGCAGGCACTGATTATTTCCTAATTATGTCTCTTTAGTACTGAAATATACTGACACAAACATATACAGATAATTGAATGATATGATGTACATACCTAGCTCTTTAGCAAAACTCTTCATATGTAGATTCAAGGGGTGTAAGACGGATCCACCAGCCTCGTACTCGGCACCATTTATGTCTATGGTAGCCATACGACCCCCAACTTGACCTTTCTCAAAGACATCAATCTGAACATCCTTCCCAAATTTCTGCCTCAAGAAATATGCAGCGGATGAGCCTCCGATTCCACCTCCCACGATTGCTAAGAAACACATACTTTTAAAAAAAAGAGGTAAACTCCTTTTACAGGGAAACCTGAAACAAATGATAGCTTAGTTCCATTTCCAATATTTTTATATTTTTCTCAACATCCAAATGAAAAAAAATGCTGCTTCATGCTAGACCTTCATACTAGAAATTACCAGCATGTTCCAAAAATGTTCAGACTCTGAGCCTTAATGGTAGCCATCCAAACTAAGGCTATTCTATGGATATATTAGGGTGAACATACCGAATCAAGCATTGTGTTTTGTTTTTTTACCCAGCCTGTCCATTAATGAGTTTGTACACGCTCCCATTCATATAATTCAGGGGTCCTCAAACTCCGGCCCCCCAGATGTTGCTGAACTACAACTCCCATGATTCTTTGAATTACATAGATAGCCAGAGAATCATGGGAGTTGTAGTTCAGCAACATCTGGGGGGCCGGAGCTTGAGGACCCCTGATATAATGTGATACACTCAAGAACTCCACAGAGTGTTATTTCTCCGTAGCTGTGATACTTTCCAACACACTGTATGGAGCTCTGTCATACACTCACATAAGAACACATTAGCCTACATTTTAATAATATGGAGCTTTGCATTTTATTGTTGTGCAGCTCTGTGGCAGACCATGTATTACTGTTCGATTAATTGCTTTGGAACTTTCTGATACACTCTCCCAGCGGTAGGCAACCATTGGCACAACAGGTGTTGAAAACTACAACTCTCATAATGCTCTTATAGCATTAATGCTGACAAAGCATCATGGGAGATGTTGTCCATAACATCTGGGGTGCCAAAAGTTGACTACCCCTGCGTCTATACTGCATGTAAGTAGGGCTTGTTGTGTATTTTGAAATATAACGGGGGGTAGCTCAGGGTGACCAGGTCAGGTCACAGTAAAAACTATAAAAAAATTTTTTTAACATTAGAAGTTTGGAAACCACATGTGTCATAACTCTATGGTATTTTCTACCTTTGCTTAAGTACCTTCATCAGCGAAGATCCCGACTCACTATCCTATATCACACTATAATATTATCTCACAGGGTACGGTTTTCCACCGTCTATATTTTTACTAGGGTTAGGGTTGGAAGTGAGCATCTAGGACAGCCATCAACTTTCTACTGTCTGGCATAGTTCTTGTTAGCAGTGTCTGCGTCTAAATAGCAGGAGACCCTGTTATGTAAAACTTTACAGTCCAGGCTGCAGTCTGGCTGTTTATAACATACTGTAACCTCATAAGTACTGCCTGGTCCACTGTATGGTTTATTGATAGCCACACTGACAAATTAAATCAGATATGCTACTGGCTTTAAAAATGTGTTATTGGACAATTCCCTGTAATAACATAAATAGTTAAACGTTGCAACTGCAATACTGGCACATTTATTTTGGTCTTCTAAAAACATCCTCCCATTTGGCACAATGCAGAGCAGTAAATCATTAGACACAGAACACATGCTCTGCCTGGCAGGGGGGAGAGTTACTGCTGCAGAGCATTCTTCTCTCTTTATATGCAGAACATTCTTCCTTTTAATATGCAGGACATTCTTCCCTCTTTATTTGCAGGACATTTCCTAATTTCCAAAAACAGCTATGTACTATTACACCCCCTACCCGTGACCTCCTGCAGACTATTTCTCCCTCTACAAAGCAGACTATCACTTGTTTGCTAATGCAGGGTAATAGCCTGTATAGTGGAGCACTCCCTCCCCTTTCTGATAGCCTCACACCCTGCACTCTGATTATCTACACTGGCCTATTAATGATTCCTATATAAACCCCCCTGCACTTACTGCCAGTATAAATGCACCCCGCTTACTTACCTATCCTGCCGGGCGGCTGATGATGTAGCTCCTCAGCCACTCCAGGCCGCAGCGCGCACAGAAGGAGGGCAGACAAAACAAACGCAGATAGGAACATGGCGTGTCCACTAACTTGCCTCCCGGCTGACAGTCATTGCACATGCGCGGACAGGCCCCCTCTTTCTACCTCTCCCTGAGTTGTGTGTTAAGGGGTTGACAGAGTCTCAAAGATACATTAATTAGTGAGCCATAAAATTATATGAAAGTGCTCAGGAACCTTCCTCTTTGGCATTTACTAACAACTGCTATTAGCATAAATAGGTCTATTTATGTATGAGGTTATTCCCTAAAAGGGACACTATAGGCACCCAGACCACTTCCGCTCATTGAAGTACGCTGGGTGCAATGTCCCATGTCCCTTAACCCTACAATGGTAATTATTTAAGTTTCTGAGAAACTGCAAGAATTACCTATCAGGGTTAACTCCCCCTCTAGTGGCTGTCTACCACACAACTACTAGAGGGACATTCGGCTGGTTAGGCGATCAAAGTCGGCTAAATAACGCTGGACGTTCTCACTCTGTGCCTGAGGACATCCAGCGTCAATCAAATCCCTATAGAAAAGCACTGAAACAATGCTTTCCTATCTATAGGGAATCCTAATGCAAGCTCGGCACTTGCCGCGCATGAGCATTAGGTCTCCCCCGCTGACTGATGACATAAGGAGCGTGGGCGGAGCCTGACCCAGCACCGAGGGACATCAGCACTGGATTCAGGTAAGTGACTTTTTTTTAACCCCTTCAGCGCTGCAAGAGGGGGCCTCTATAGTGCCAGGAAAATGGCTTTGTTTTCCTGGCACTATAGCATCCCTTTAAGTGAGAATTCAAAGTAAACTTACAGTACATTTCAAATTTAAGGGCAGAATAGCTGAACTGGAAACATTCCTCCAAGTCAGCTAAAGCTCCAGTTCAGCTAAAGTGGCCTTACAGTTGAAATTCACTTTGAATTCTCATTTTAATAAATAACATTGTTAGTGATTTTGCATTTTACTTCTCACACTCCTTTTATAGCTAGAAGCAACTGGGAATTAGGGATAGCCTGAGGGCTTTAGGCATTTTGTGATGCCCCTAATGCCCAATGTTATTCATTATTATTTATTGTTAAAACAATACTGTCACCCCCCTTTCATGGAGATAGAATCTTTGTAAAATACAAATTTTGACTGTGTTGGAAGCACAATAATCGGCCTTCTCACCCGACTGATGTTTGCCTAGGCCTCACTTGAACCATCGGGGTTGCAGAGGGCGCAAACAGCTGAGGTGCTTGAGATCACTCTAGGCTTCAGGATCTGGCTAGCCACGATGATGCAGCATCAGAATGCGTTAAAAGTCATTACATCGGCTTAGTACAAGAGTCAGGCTTGGAGCTCATAAGAAACATGTCCAGCCGCCATGCAGTTCAAGCCCTGCCCCCCTCCTGCTTAAAAAGGAAATATTTAAATATATTTTTATTAAACGGATACTCTAAGCGCCAAAACAGTGCTTTGAACTGGTTATGATGCCTGAAGTCTGTGTGTGCAGCACTTCACTTTGAAACAGTGTAACTACACCTCTAGTTTCTGGTTAGGGGTTGAAAACCCTATGATGCTGCCAGAGTTCCAGGCAGGCTAATGTCAATTCTGTGCAATTTTTATAATGACCATCATTGGCTGAGAGCTGTCATCTGACGTTTTCAGCCAATTAATTTCAACACCTTTCGGCTTCTGGCTTCTTCGCTCAATATTTTATTGAGCGAAGTGACAACTCCACTTTAATAAAATAGAAATAACTTCTAACGTTCCCTTTTAATATTAAAAGCTGCAATCTACACACCATAACCACTACAGTCCAAACATGGAGAGCATTGCTATTACAAATGCAGAAGGGGATCTTCAGATTTAGTGATCACAAAAAAGAGAGATGAATTACCCAGTGGTGTATTTTGGATTTGTGCTGCCTTAGGCACGACTAAATTTGGGCACCACCCTTATCTGAATTTGTCCCACCAATTCGTGTCAAGGCTATTTTTTGACTGACAGACACACACCCTCATTGATACATGCACTGACACAGTCATTGGCACACACACTGTTTAACCAACACACACTTTCACGGACAGTCACACACACTCTCGGATACACATACATTCACTCACAGACACACACTGACAGCTACACGTACTTATTCACAGACATAGACACACACACACTCACTGGCAGACACACAAAAAAATTCTAATTCACTCCCAATTAGTGTGGATCCTGTCCCCCGAATGCTGCTGGGTGGGCTCCTTGATGGCTCTGCTGGGGCTGTTGGCTCCTGCTGGCTGTGCGGGCGCTCAATGGAGGCAACGAGGGAACTGAGGTCTTCTTGCTCAGTTCCCTTGCACACTGCTTAGTGATGCTGGGGCCGGAGTGACATCGTATTCCGGCTCCCGGCATCACGGAAGGGCGCGAGAGGGGGCAAGAAGAACTAAGGACATGACTCGCTTGCTGCCCATCCAGAATATTAGTAGTTTAACACCTCCAAGGGGGCCTTAAGGAGGCCAACTCTTGGGCCACCCAGGACACAAGACTAACAAGGCATTTGCCTGGGTGTTTGGGGCAGTGTTTTCTTGCGGTCTTCCTGAAAGTGCCGCCCTAGTGCCTGGTTTGCCTTGTGGTAAATACAGCCCTGCGGGTACCCATGTAAGTGTCATACGATTTAAATTCTTTATTTTAGATGTGCATGATAAGGAATGTCACGGTATACACTTATAACAATAAAGTAGAATAGTATGCAAGATAAAGTGTATTGCAAAAATTTGCACATTTTTAGATCTAGTAAATAGAGGCAGGAATAACAGTGAACATTGTTCAACAGTGTTCAGTTTTCAGGTCAGGCCCCGCCCCCGTGTCATACCATTTAAAACAGTTTTGACTCCTTATTGCGGGATGGCTGAATAGGACAGCATGACCACTACTGCAGAAAGTAATGCCACAGATCATGTCCCTATTTAAGAAAATCTAAAATTACATGGACAGTCCGTTGGTTTAACTTTATCTCTCACAAATCGTGTTCACACAGCACCCACTCCTGCTCCTTAGCTCGTGATGGTTTGTTTTTTTTCTTCCTCTTTTTTTCTCTATTCTCCAATTTTACCTTTAACATTAATCATCTGTCTTCTCTTTTAAATATCATGGCTTCATTTCCAAAGCTCTATTACTGACATATTCAATTTAATTATGTTTTATTCCCTATTATATATTGATCTACGTAAGCATCTAGACTAAAATTTAGCCCAATATGTTATAGTGCCTCCCAAAAAGGGGGACGTAATCTGATTACTTCATTCATAGTGAGATTCATCTATTTGCAAATCTACCTGTCCTCTCCTGATCTCTCTCTGCCCATCTTGACTAGTGTCTCTGACTGCCTCTCTTCAATTTCCAAATGGATGGCTGCTCACTTCCTTAAACTCAACCTGTCCAAAACAGAATTTCTGGTCTTTCCTTCCTTTAAGTGTTACTACTCCTGTGTCTGTCTCCCTCCAAGTCAACGGCGCTACCATCACCTCTACCTCACAGGCTCGCTGCCTGGGTGTTCTTTTTGACTCCAACCTCTCCTTCAACCCTTATATCCAACCTGGCACCAAATCCTGTCGCTTCTATCTCAAAAACATAGCGCGCATTCGCCCCTATTTAACCCCGGATGCAGCTAAGGTGCTGGTCCATGCTCTTGTTCTCTCTCGTCTTGACTTCTGCAATACCCTTCTCAGTGGTCTTACATGTTCCCAGATTGCACCGCTGCAATCTATAATGAATGCGGCGGCGAGGCTCATTTTCCAGTCCGTTTGCGCCTCCCCGCTCTGTCAGTCCCTGCACTGGCTTCCAATTAAATACAGGGCTCGATTTAAAATTCTGGTGCTTGCTTACAAGTCTCTACATAATGCCGCTCCAACCTACCTATCCTCCCTAATACACAAGTATGTCCCGTCGAGGCCCCTACGCTCTGCCAAAGACCTATGTCTATGCTCTGTCCGCACGCCCACCTCTATTGCTCGCCTCCAAGATTTCTCCAGGGCTGCACCTCTTCTGTGGAACGCCCTTCCCTTCTCCGTAAGACTTTCACCCAGGCTCCACTCATTCAAAAAAATAATTGAAAACTCACTTCTTCAAGAAAGCATATCAATTAAACTGTAAGCAGGTTTTTTTTCCCCCACCCCCATGACTCCTCTCCTGCAACTGTCAAAAATTACTTACTAAGCCCTCAATTAATATTTTTGTAACAACTTACTTTGTACCCCTACTTTTACCCTTTGTGTCACTATACCCCACTCCCTCTAGAATGTAAGCTCATTGAGCAGGGCCCTCCACCTCTCTGTTCCTATACATCCAATTGTCTGGTTAAAATTACATGTGTTAGTCCACCCAATGTACAGCGCTACGGAATGTAATGGCGCTATATAAATAATAAAATTATAATAATTTGTCCCTTTAAGCCATATAAAGGGTGGCTATACAACTCGTAATAATCTTAAAAAAGCTGGCAATACCATCTAATAGTACAGAAAAGTAAAAAAAAAAAAAACAACCTAGACATTAATCAAATGCAAACTAATAAAAAAATAAAAAGAATAGAAACTAATAAATACAAAATGACCAAGATAGACGAAGCAGGAAATTGCAGCATGATGCTCCGGTAAAAAAAAAAAAGAAAATAACAAAAAAGAAATACTAACAAGTAGTGGAAACAAAAGTAAGTAGCCACCCTTTAGCCCAATGTTCAGATCTCCATGATGGATGCTTCACAACTCCTCATTATACTGGTTACCAATAATATTGCACGTAGAAATATTGAAACCCTAACAATGACATACAGACACAGTTCTAAGTTGACTTGAATGTGCTCATTTAACATAAAAAACACAATTGTCCTGGTTTAGAATCCTCATATATTCATTCTGTGAGGGTACGTAATGGATGTCTAATTTTCCAGCGGAATATAAAAAAACAAAACAAGGCATTTTATTTAAGTTGAAGAACAATCATCAGAAAATCAGTGGTTTTATTATGAAAATAAATATTCTGCATTTTTGATTGACATTTATCCCATGATAAACAAGAAACCCTCCTTTAAACAATAAAAACAAATCACAAGCATGCAAAAGTTTCAGGATTAAACTCATTCTCAGTCTAAGCATAGTGGACTTGAGTTAGTTATTGAACTTTGGTTTGTGAATTTATACATTTATGTTGTTGCTTGATGCATGGTAAACAATTAAATAACAAAAACATTGAATTGGGGTGTATATTAGAATATAAACAAGACAATCAGTTATTAGTGTTCCATCCAACCACGTAAACCAAATGTCAAATTCACAAGTGGCCACTCACACTCTTGTTGAAATTAGAAAGCCTTTAGAATGGTTTTCTTTTTCAGCATATATGCCCTTTTAAATTCAGTTCTTTCATCTATATTAGTATCTCTTGGATTGGTTGAAAGGTGTGTGCTCAAGAGAGAAATATAAAAAAATTGTAGTGCACATTCAAAAATAGAATAAAAAGTATTTAAGAACTTACATCAAGGTATAAAACAATTCTCACTGTCACCACTAGTGGTCCTACGTGTTTCGTCCGTATATAAGACTTCCTCAGGGACTTTAGTGACCAGCAGTGACCAAGAAACAAATCAACAATCACCAAATTTACAATCTGCAGTGCATGAAGGTAACACTTATGTTTCTACTTTAGAATTAAAACTCACTTTGCTGGCCGGGAACCAAGATGGCCGCGTGAGCCGATAGCTCCCGAGACCCAGGCACATAACAGCAACTCAAAGCGCACTGGCAGGGCGGCAATCCCCACCAACCAACCCACTCACCCACCGGGTACCCCACAGCAATGGGCGGCAGCCGGAAAAAACGGGACACGCAGCCGTCGGTCGCCTCGCACTTCAGAGTGCAGGGGGACCCGGCGCCATCTTCCCCACGTGGCGCTGAAAACTCTGACTCGGAGCACAGCGAGCCCTCAGCACCGCTGACGAAAGCCGACCTCCAGCGGCTGCTTAAAGAGGCAGCAGCCGATATAAAAAATCACATGGCAGCAGAATTGGAGAAGCAGCTCCAGAGCCTGAGGGCAGAAATCACTGATCTGGGGGAGCGGACAGGGCAAGTGGAGCACAGAGTGGACGACATTATGGACACAGTGACCGCCCAGGCAGACACCATTTCAACTCTGCAATCACGCATAGAAACACTGGAAAACGGACTGGAAGACCTCAGCAATAGATCCAGACGAAACAACATCAGGATCAGAGGCCTCCCAGAAACCATCACTGGAGAGTTACTCCACTCCACACTGCAAGAGGTATTTCTGACCCTCTTACCTGACAAAACCCCACAAGAGCTATCCATGGACAGAGCCCACAGAGCCCTGAAGCCCCCTAGCCAAGACCACACAGCCCCCAGAGATGTGATAGTGAGGCTTCACTACTACTCCGTCAAGGAAGCACTTATGGCGGCGACCAGAAAAAGCCCGCCAAAACTGGACACCGCCACGCTGGCATTCTACCAAGACCTAGCACCCACCACGCTAGCCAAACGTCGAGAGCTGAAACCGCTCACAACGGCACTAACCCAAGCAGGTTTAGCCTACAGGTGGGGGCACCCCTTCAAACTCCTTGTCCGCAGAGACAACACGACCCACATCCTCACAGACCCCTCCAAACAGCAAGCTTTTGCCTCCAAACTGGGCCTGCGCCTACCAGCGGCAAGATCTGACACCACTACCACCACTGCACGGAGACGACCCCCAGCACTACAACCACTGTGGGAAAAACCATCGCCGCAAAGATACCACCACGCCGGGAACAGCCCAAAAGCTACGCCAAGCACCGGACCGAAGATGACCTGACTCCATCGCACCGACCCTGAACCCAGACAAGACGCACCGAAACGACGGCTTCAATAAAGAGCAAGCCGTAACACAGAGACTGCACCTATCCAACGACCCATCAAATATCCTTTACGTACTTTAAATGTAGAGACGCTGGTCATACGTGCCACGATTGTTTATTTGTCTACTTGTATACATGTGAACAGCTAGCGAGCCCTGCAAATGTGCACGGCTCAAACTAGAAAAGAGGCACCACACCTAGCACCAAGGGGACCAGACAGCGGGGGGTAGGGGAGCAGGGGGAACGCCACACCACTTCAGCGGGTAAAACTAGGGGGAGTTGGGAGGGGGGAGGAAGTAAGTGGGAACGGGCTGGGACGATAGGGAAAACCCACACTGAACCACCTGACCCCCAGACAATAGGCTACACGCCACCCCACTGGAACAACCTGGGGGAGACGGGGGGGAGAACGCCCCATAACCGAACACCAGAGACCCAGGAAAGCCGGGACCGCCCTAACCCCGACCTCGACACCAGGAACCCCAGCCCAAGGGACCATGCTGACACCCCTCCCCCAGAAGGGCCCCCTAACCCACGGGAGCCACCAACCCCCCCAGACAGATCTGTAACTAACAGACCCAAAGACACCACCCCCCACTCCCAACCCACGACTGCCCAGTGGAAATCCGCACACACCTGGACCGGGACGCACCTCAGGACTTACCCCCACCATGCCCCACGTTAACACCTGGGCACTGGAGTCCCACCTAAGGGACATTCCCAACACACCACTAAACTTGAACCTGGCACAGACCATAAGTCCAGGAAGTTGTATATATGTTCACAGTTATTTTTCTTTGTACCCACAGTTTACCCCCGAAGAGTACCATGGCGGGACACGGGACCTTAGAACCACATCCAAAACGGAAAGAAACCCGACGCAACATCCCCAAACCTCCACCCACAACACAGGGAGCAGGACCAAGGCACGATCGACACCGCAGTACCCCTCACACCACAATGCTAGCTAAGGTAACATGCATATCCATTAACTGCAAGGGGCTCAACCACCCCTCGAAACGCCACCGGGTTATGCGCTGGGCCAACAGGTCGGGGGCAGACGTGGTCTTCCTCCAGGAGACACACTACGCTCATACACGCCCGTTCCCTCTCCTAAGCCGTCACTACCAAACCTGTCACCTCGCCAACTCACATACAGGCAAACATAATGGGGTGGCAATTTTACTGAAAAAAAATTGCCCTATACACCTTAAAGACGTCCAAAAAGACCCACAAGGACGATATATAACAGCACTTGGCACTATTGGACCCACAAAAATAGCTCTGACCTCCATATATGCACCGACGACTCCAGACCCACAATTTTGGCAGATAATACAAGCTCACCTTAGCCAACATCCTAACTACCAAAGAATAATAGGGGGGGACTTCAACGCTACAATCTCCCCATCCATAGACAGACAACGCTACTCCCCCCACACCCAGCAACCCACCCATCCCTCCAGAGCGGACAAAATGTTGGCCGACTTCATAACCCAAACGGGCCTCATAGACATATGGAGATCTCAACACCCAACAGACCGTGACTACACGTTCTACTCGCACCCCCATCACACCTACTCCCGCATTGACCTCTTTCTCATCTCACCATCCCTAATCCCCCACGTCACAAAGTCTGCAATAGGCAACATTACCTGGTCTGACCACGCAGACATCACACTACAACTCCAACCACCACAAATCTCACGACCCTGGACCTGGAGGCTCAACCCTATACTACTCCATGACCCCCACATAGTTGCCCAACTGAAGACAGAACTCACCCAATACTTCGACACCAATAAAGACTCGGTGCAATCACACGCGGTACTTTGGGCAGCACACAAAACAGTGCTCAGGGGATCCCTGATCAGCATAGCCACGGCGGAAAAAAACAAACACATAGCCCACATAACATCCCTACTGGACCAGATCAGACAACTCGAAGCACAACACAAACTAACCCCCACACAAGATCTCACAACACAACTGCACCACCAGCGCCAGGCCCTTAAACAGGCCATGGCGAAAGACGCAACTAAAGCTTTACAATGGACAAAACAAATGTTCTACGAAAAATCAAACAAAGCAGACACACTACTGGCCCGAAGGCTACGCAAACGCCAGCAAGCCAAGCAAATCACCACCATCCATACCCCCACAGGCCAACCAACCGACATACCCAATAAAATAGCCGAGACCTTCCAGAAGTATTTCACTGACCTATACGACCACTCCCCTCAACACCGCCAAGATGACGGCCCCCTACACGATAACATACAAACCCTCCTAGCAAAGGCCCACATTCCGACACTCACGACGGAGGCTCAAGCACACCTCTCTACAGAAATTACAGAGGAGGAGGTGAGGAGAGTCATAGGCACCACGAAAACCCAACAAAAGCCCAGGCCCGGACGGATACTCGGGCATCTACTACAAAACATTCACAGACAACCTGCTAACCCACATGACAAAGCTATATAACTCGCTCATGACTGGAGATCAGCTGCCCGAGGACATGCTGGAGGCAAACATTTGCCTACTACCCAAACCTGGCAAACCGCATACAGAACCAGGTCACTACAGACCCATTTCCCTACTAAACGTAGACATCAAAATCTTCACCAAAATCCTTGCCAACAGACTGCTCCCCTACATTCCATCGACAATCCACCCCGACCAGGTCGGATTTGTCCCCACAAGACAAGCGAGCGACAACACCAGACGGACTTTAGACCTCATATGGGTAGCCAATCACCGTCACATCCCCACCCTCCTACTATCCCTTGACGCCGAGAAGGCATTTGATAGACTACTATGGCCCTTCCTCTTCGCCACCTTAGAGAAACTCCAATTCCCAACACCATTCATGACAGCCCTCAAAACGATCTACTCAGTCCCAAAAGCAAAATTACTCATCCCAAATGCGCAACCCCCCCACTTCCCTATACATAACGGAACGAGGCAGGGCTGCCCACTGTCACCGATCCTTTTTGCCCTATCATTGGAACCACTTTTACACCTCATACGCACCACCGCTACCATCACGGGCATTACAGTACGCTCCCAAGCTTACAAGGTGGCGGCGTACGCCGATGACCTGCTCCTAACGCTAACTGAACCCCTCACCGCCCTCCCACCACTCCTGAAACTGGTGAAAGAATACTCAGCAGCCTCAGGATATAAACTAAACCTGGACAAGACAGAGGCACTTAGCATAAATATCGACCAAAACACGATGGAGACACTACTGGAAACATACAGGTTTCGCTACAACACATCCCACATCCCATACCTAGGTATACAGCTACCAGCAGCACTACACCGCACGTACGCCCTGAACTATACTCCAATGATACAGAAAGCAACGGACGATCTCAAAAGATGGCAAAACCTATCACTTTCATGGTTAGGCCGCATTGCATCAGTAAAGATGAACCTCTTACCCCGCTTCCTTTACCTATTCCAAACCCTCCCCATCCCACTCCCCACAACAGACGCAAAATATGTCCAAAAACTAATAGACAACTTTATCTGGGCAAATAAAAGACCCAGAATAAAAAGGAGCACCATGTACATCCCCAATAGGATGGGAGGACTGGGACTACCCCATCTCCAAAACTACTATTACGCCGCACAACTCACACAGATCCAACACTGGCACACCCCGCAGGGGATCAAACGATGGGCGGACCTGGAACATGACCTATTTGGACGCGACCACCCATCCCTCTACATATGGGTACCAAAGAAATCACGCCCCCTACCACCACCACTGCCCCCAGCAATCACAACTCAATAGACTTGTGGGATAAAACGTCCCGGAAATTCCCCATCATAAACAACCCGACACCATTGACGCCAATACTACGCAATAGAGCATTCCCCCCAGGGTTAACACCCAAAGACTTTGCACACTACGAGCAAAACGACCTGTCTAGACTGCACCACTTCTACACGGGAACGCAAATTACCCCATACAACGACCTTCCCAACACGCAGGCAACATATACCACTCACGATTTCTTTCGCTACATACAACTACGAAGCTTCTTAGAGCAACCCGACAATGCCAAAGCAGCCACCACCACGCTCACACGGTTTATGAGGTCATGCCTACATAACCCACTCCACAAAGGTCAAATCACGGAAAACTACACACTTCTTATCACCAACCAACCCAAGGGGGCCTCGGCATATGTGGCGGCTTGGGAGAGGGACTTAGGGCCACCGGACGACCCCACGGACTGGCAAGATATCTGGGAGGCAACGGCCTCAATATCCATATGCGTTAACCATAAGGAGCAAGCGTATAAAACACTGCTCCGATGGTACCTAACCCCGGTATGTTTGTACCATATGGGCAAAGCAGACGCGGACCTATGCTGGAAAAACTGCGGGCAGAGAGGCACATACATACACACATGGTGGCATTGCCCTAAACTGGTCCCATTGTGGGCGGAAGTAGCTACCCTAGTCTCAACACTCCTCCAGACCACCATACCATTAGACCCCTGGACCTGGCTCCTCTCCAGACCACGAGAGGACCTGACCAGAGCCCAAAACAAAATGACAAACTGGATAGCCTTAGCGACTAGACGGGCAATAGCCGAAGTATGGGGTTCGCCAAACACCCCCACACTGCAAACGATCATACGCAAAACCAAGGAAGCAATACACATGGATAGGCTATCAGCCATAATTCATGAGACCTGTAAACACTTCCACAGAATCTGGGACCCCTGGCTATCCGATCCCCACCTACAATAAGGGCACACGGACAGCCTCCACCTCACCCACCAGGCCCGCTACTCCAACATAGCGATCAAAATACCAACGCACGGAAACTCACAGTACAAATATTACCCCAACCCGAACCATTGGATGTCTACTGGGCTCCCGAAATAGTGTCCCACCATGGTACTCTCACCCTTGTACATAGGTTCTCCACCCCCCCCCCAACTGACTACCCAGACGCAGGGGCGCCCATTAGTACGCAACGAGGACGATAAAAATAGTCAATAGGGGGCATCCCACCCTACCACAAAACTGTTAACGAGACGAGCCGCAAATCTCATACGGCCACCAATACAGACTGGTCCAAACGAATTGGGCAAAGGGAATAAGTCCAAAACAGAAATCCCTGAACCCCGCACTATTGCACGATAAACGCCTAACCAACGGACCGCACCAAGACACAACTACTTGTTCGCAACACCCTAAGGCGCAAAGACAAGTAAAATATTGTGCTCCTGTATCATTGTGGCTGTTTCACCCCCTCCCTCTTTCATTTCTGTACCCTAATGTTTTCTTTTTCCACACCGGAAAACAATAAATAAAGAATGTTTAAAAAAAAGAATTAAAACTCACTTTGAATTCCTGACAAGTTTAAATTAAAGGAACATTATAGTCACCTAAATTACTTTAGCTAAATAAAGCAGTTTTAGTGTATAGATCATTCCCCTGCAATTTCACTGCTCAATTCACTGTCATTTAGGAGTTAAATCACTTTGTTTATGTTTATGCAGCCCTAGCCACACCTCCCCTGGCTATGATTGACAGAGCCTGCATGAAAAAAAAAACTGGTTTCACTTTCAAACAGATGTAATTTACCTTAAATAATTGTATCTCAATCTCTAAATTGAACTTTAATCACATACAGGAGGCTCTTGCAGGGTCTAGCAAGCTATTAACATAGCAGGGGATAAGAAAACCTTAATTAAACAGAACTTGCAATAAAGAAAGCCTAAATAGGGCTCTCTTTACATGAAGGGTTTATGGAAGGCTGTGCAAGTCACATGCAGGGAGGTGTGACTAGGGTTCATAAACAAAGGGATTTAACACCTAAATGGCAGAGGATTGAGCAGTGAGGCTGCAGGGGCATGTTCTATACACCAAAACTGCTTCATTAAGCTAAAATTGTTCAGGTGACTATAGTGTCCCTTTAAGTGAATAACTTTGCATGTATGTTGCTAACTACAGCTCTTATCAATTACATTACAATTACAGACAGCTCCTACTTTTATTATGATGATGTTCTTATTTATATAGCGCCAAAAAATTCCACAGCGCTTTACAGTGGGTGGATGAACAGACATGTAGTTATAACCAGACAAGTTGGACACACCGGAACAGAGGGGTTGAGGGCCCTGCTCAATGAGCTTACATACTAGAGGGAGTGGGGTAAAGTGACACAAAAGGTAAGGATAGTATTAGACTAATGGCAATTGCAAAAGAGGAATCAGTCGGGAATCAGTTTAATTGATACGCTTTTATGAAGAATTGGGTTTTTAATGATTTTTTGAAGGTGTGGAGACTAGGCGAGTATCTAACGGAGGAGGGAAGTGAGTCCCACAGGAACGGTGCAGCCCTCGAGAAGTCTTAAAGGTGAGCACCACAGGTGGGAGTACGGACAGAAGATAGACATAAGCAGATCGTAAGGGCCTAGACGGGACATACAGGTGATACTCGGAAAATGTAAATATCGCGCAAAAGTTCATTTATTTCAGTAATGCAACATAAAAGGGGAAACTAATATATGATATAAACGTATTACATGCAAAGCAAGATAGTTAAAGCTGTGCTATATGTCATAACTGCAATGATTATGGCTTACAGCTCATGAAAACCAGGTTTTGGTGCTTTTGGCAGTGTGGGCAGGTGCCAAGTCCTGCTGGAAAATGAAGTCAGCATCCCCATAAAGCTCGTCTGCTGAAGGAAGCATGAAGTGCTCCAAAATCTCCTGGTAGACGGCTGCGTTGATCATGGACTTAATGAAGCACAGTGGACCAACAACAGCAGATGACATGGCAACCCAAATCAACACAGACTGTGGAAACTTCACATCTTGCAGTGTGTGCCTTTCCATTCTTCCTCCAGACTCTGGGTCCTTGGTTTCCAAATAAGATGCAAAAGTTGCTCTCATCAGAAAAGAGGACTTTGGACCACTGAGCAACAGATCAGGTCTGTTTTTCTATAGCCCAGGTAAGACGCTTCTGATGTTGTTTGTTGTTCAGGAGCGGCTTGACAAGAGGAATACGACATCTGAAGCCCATGTCCAGGATCTGTCTGTGTGTGGTGGCTCTTGATGCACTGACTCCAGCCTCAGTCCACTCCTTGTGAAAGTCCCCAACACTTTTGAATGGCATTTTCCTGACAATCCTCTCCAGGCTGCGGTCATCCCTGCTGCTTGTGCACCTTTTTCTTCCACACTTTTCCCTTCCACATAACTTTCTATTAATGTGCTTTGATACAGCACTTTGGGAACATCCAACTTCTTTTGCAATTACCTTTTGAGGCTTTCCCTCCTTATGGAGGGTGTCAATGATGGTTTTCTGCACAACTGTCAGGTCAGCAGTCTTCCCCATTATTGTGATTCCTACTGAACCAGACTGAGAGACCATTTAAAGGCTCAGAAACCTTTTGCAGGTGTTATGGCTTACTTAGCTGATTAGAGACACTGTGAGCGTAGAATATTGCACCTTTTCACAATATTCTAATTTACGGAGATTGTGGATTTGGGGTTTTCATGAGCTGTAAGCCATAATCATCGCACTTATGACAAATCACGGCTTGAACGATCTTGCTTTGCATGTAATGCGTCTATCTCATGTATTAGTTTGCCCTTTTACGTTGCATTACTGAAATAAATGAAATTTTGCACAATATTTTTCGAGTATCACCTGTACATGTGCATTAGTGAGGATAGATAGCTGGGAGCAGCATTATGTAGAGATTTGAAAGCAAGAACCATAATTTTAAATTGAGCCCTATATCTTACAGGAAGCCAATGTAGGGACTGACAGAAGGGTGAGGTGTGGGAGGTGCGGGCTTAGTGTGTCTGTGTGGAAGAACATAACAGTTTAAACAATATTTTCTTCAACACAGATAAACGTATTAAGGGCAATATGACAAATACTGAAAAAGGATATCAGATTTTATTTTAAGAAAAACTCATATTGTGTTTGTAATGGAAAATAATCCATTTAATATTTACCCACCAAAACATTCAAAATATACAGACCTTACGACTTCTCTTTCTTAAATGCATATTTAATCACATTACCAAGAAACTACTATTGATCTGTTATTTGTACCAATTTTGGACATAATTATCCTGTAGCTCGTCATCAAGAATTTAAATTAATAGAGGTACCAAATACAAGAAGGATTTCTTCAATAATAAATTAATGTGGAGCTCTAATGATGGGAAAATCTGTGCCTCTGGTGGCACAATTCGCTTTACTTCAGGGTCTTTACATGGTTCTACAACCCTGAGGAATGGTCAAAAAATGTTAGACAAATCATCATAAATTTTATTCAAGTTAATTTTTTTCAGTGGATTACATGTAATTCAGCAGGACATAATAGATTTTGGATTTTGCCACAAAATAAAGGTAAGTCCTTAGTGGATATACCCTTAATTTCAAAATGAACAGGGTTACTACAATAACAAAAACGATATAGAAAGAGTCCTTCAAACATTGATAAATGCTGCTAAAACAGCATTAGGAGCCATTATAACAATTAAAGCGGTTTTGTTTATCCAGTATCCCATACACTTATTATAGGAGACATTTCAGCAGTAAGTGTAATAAGATACCCAAAGTGATACTGTAGCTTTATTGAATCTTCCTCCAAATGAAAAGACTCATTGTTACCCATTATGGGGAAGTGGTGATTTTCCAACATGGCTAGCTTGAACCAAACTGTGCAACTCAACTGTTGAATTATCACAATTTAAAAAGAAACCTCTAAATTTGCACATATTCGCAAGCATCATCATGTTCAGTAACAAACTTAATGTGACAACCAAGAATATAAAATAACAGACAAAGCCTATTACTCTGCAAGAGGTATACAAGCATTCCTAGCAATATTGCTCCCCGAATCTTCCCATTTCTTTGTAGTAGTGAAGCAGAGACTGATGGAAAGTACTATACGGATGTACACTACAACTCTGTCCACAAATAAAATAAGGCACTGCCTGGTGAACCAGTGATTTGCTGGAACAAAAAACCTTGTGTTTAAACAAGGGATGTATGTCTAATGAAAGTTGAATTGGAGTTACAGAAGTTTTAGAAAGAAAATTGGTCAATTTAACATTATCATGTTAAAGCATACTAAATTGAGATTACCAAAAGTTTTCCCCAGAGAAGCAAATACTCAAGCAAGTCAAGTTGGGAATATTAGTGCAGCAAAAAAAAAAGTCCATGGTATTCGCTCACATAGATCACAACTAGCTTCTGTCAATCACAATTCAGACTTAAGGCGTTCAGTTAGGTCTTCTTGGTCAATCTGTTCATTCTTACCATACCATCTATGATGGGAGAGAAGTGCAATATTCTTGGCAGAGATTGCACTCATCTCCATGGCACTGGCTGCCCATTCTATGCTATTGAGGTAGTAGATTCTATCATGAAGAATAATGGGTGGCATTTTTTCTGGAGGGTTGTAGTGAGGATAAGCCAGCCATGTCTTCACCTTCACTGCATGGTGAGATTCAAAGAGAAGATTCAACTGATCTTTTGTTAGTGGCTGAGGAGAGAAGACCTTCCAGATTTTAAGACCACCAAGATAAGGGGATTCCGTTTCTTTGACTGGAGCCACAGCACCAATGCTGCTAAAAAACAGTTTAGGGTTGCTGGTTGTTAATACTTCAGAAAGTTCACAAGGCTTTGCACACCCAAAAAAAGAAGTATTTATCCGTCCATGAACAAAGGTTGCCACAGTCTGCTGGTAGTGCTTAGAGAAGGTCTCTATCGGAGGATTGAAACCCAGAAATGTAATTTCAGACAAACCCCTATTCAGTGGCGTTGCAATAATTACAATGTCATAAATGCCCAGCTGAGGACCAGCGCTGGTCTCATAGCTTAATTCATATAGTTTCACTGTACCTCCTGCAAAAAAGCAAAGGGAATTAAATAAATGGCAGCAAATTATATATATATATATATATATATAAATAAAATTAGAGATAAGTGGATGTGTTTCTGACATCTATGTAACAGTCTTGACTTGTCAAAAAATATCCCTAGTGTTTTCATGGACTACGCAATTATGTTTCATGTAGGATATTAAAGAGACACTATAGGCACTAAAACCATTTCATCTCGATTAAATATTAAAGTGCCTGTAGTCCTCTGGCACCATCCCTCCATTCAGCGTTAAACCATTTATTTATTTTAGCAGTTTAACAGTAAATAAGGTTCCCTGGCCACTCACACATTGACTCCTACTGGAGATATGGATAACACAGATGATTCCACTCTTCCTTCTAGGCATACCAAATCATCAGCATGGAAAGGCAGTGCCAGGGAACACCAGAAACTATAAATACTGAAAGGAGCAGTAAAGTTTCAAGAATACAAACACTATAGTGTTTAAGTATTTAGGTGACCGGGCGAGTGGTCAAAGGAGAGTTTATTTACCTTTTGCCCATGCAATGCCGGTCTTGCTGCGGCAGGTCCCGCCTCCATTGCTAAGATCATCAATCTTAATTATCTCAGCCAATCCAATGAAGGAATTAAGAGGCTATTGCGCATGCATGGCAAAATACCACGCTGCGCCAATCTACATCTCGATGGGGAACATTCAGAATCTCCATGCAGAGCAGAGTATGGAGACTCTGCACACAGTGCAGCACTGGACTAGGAAGCACCTCTAGTGGCTGAGTGACTGCCATTACAGGTGTTCCTAAGCAGCAATGAAAACACTGCTGTTTCTCCAAAGAGTCAGTATTTACAGTGCTCAGCCTGCAGGGACAGGTTATAGACACCATACATAAAACTGTAGTGGTTATGGGGAATATAATGTCCCTTTAATATAAAGCAGTTACAGAGCCTACGGTGTCCCTTTTAGATACCCTGGGTCATTAGAAAGCTCTGAACACTTTGCAGGAAATATGTGCATGCTGCAATAGGAGCCAGACATGCACTAAAGGATATAGACTGTTTGTTTACCCAGGTTGCTGTATTGACTGAATGTAAAAGATGTGATTAACAACTGCCAACAATGTCAGCATGTTCTTCCTAAATAAACATATGCAGGCTGTTTAACTATTTTTTATTAAATCGAAGTCTCATGCCAGAAAATAAACAAGAAAGCTTATTATTGGTTATTTTGTAATCTAACCAGCTTGTTATTTCAGATTATACATCAGTATGTAGGTAGTATACACATTTCTAATTACACAAAGAAAGGTATATAAAAGGTCATGGATGCCTTCAGCTAAAGATCACCCAACCCTCCAATGAAAACTACATCAAAATGGATTATTCAAGTACACCAAATAGAAATTACATACTTCATTTACAAACCTATATTTAACAAGCCATATAAATATATAATAGAAAAACAGCAATAATACATCACTACGTGTAGAGTACATAAGAAGTAATGTGTCACAACATATAAGAGCAAATCAAGTGATCAAAAAGACATCAAGGAACTCCAACGTTTCTACCGAAAGGTCTTGGTAAGATAACTCTTGAAAAAGACCTTGATTTTAGAATGCTTACTTTTAAGGTAACATTGAACACCTAATATTATTGCGTTGATACATTACTGCTTGTTTACTCTGTAAGGTGTATTCACTAAAGTGAGAATTCAAAGTAAATTTCAAATTAAAGGCAAAAATAATTGAATTGGAAAAAAATCTCTGAGTAAGCTATTCTTTCAGTTCAGCTACTTTGGCCTTACATTTGAAATTCACTTTGAATGCCAGAGAATTCTAAATTGAATTAATAACCCTGTATATGCAGTGATGCACTATTGCTGTTTTTCTTAAATACAAGTTTGTGAATTAAGGTACTTAATTTCCATTTGGTGTGCTTAGGTCTGAAGTAGACAACCTTCGGCACTCAAGATGTTGTGGAATACATCTCCCCTGATTTCTTGACAGAATTTTGGTCGTAAGAGTGTAAGAGATGTAGTCCACAAAATCTGGAAGCCGAAGGTTACCTACCCATGGCTTGTTGATATATTAATTTGCAGGAACCTACATCAATGAACATTGGGCTTCCATAGAAATTTAAGTATTGGAAATTGAGCAGTCCATAAATGTATTTAAACTTTTACTGATGTACAGAGTCAAGTCCTTTTTGGTTGGGTTTTGCTTACCAGATTTCATGGGACGGATTTTCTCTTCCACTGAGGTAACTATGCCCTTAATTAGTTGGGCCTTTGAGGCATAAATGAGACCAGAACATACAAGCTTGTTTCCACCTTCGATTGCCCAGAGACCAGAATCAGTACCAGCCAGAGACACGGACCCTAAACATGTAACAGACACATTAATAGCAAAACAAAAACAGAAATATTTTGAGTGCAATTCCTAAGAGCACCTATTTTGATATATCATTATTTGGCTATATTGCACTAGTTTTGTTTATTGTTTATGTATTTTAGATCATTGGGACTTATCTCCTAAAGAGTGCAAGTATACCATCTATTTGGCACCATATACGAATTTATGGTTTTTAAACAGTGTGTTTTAATTATTTCCTCACATATTCTATACAACATATGTACCTCTGGGACAGTTTTATATTGTATATATAATTCTGCTTGAACTGACACTTTAAGTATCTCTTGCACACCCACATCCTTGTATTTTTACGTTCTTTGGGATATTTTATCAGGTTTCCTTGTGGGTTGCTGCATATATATTGTTGCTTAGAGTTCTCTTAAGGTGTTAACAGTTCGTTTTTATATATTTGCACCATTCTAATTTATTGTTTTATAATGGTTACAAGGTTACAATAAAATGTTTTGGTACATTGTTTTAGAAACATTACATAATTAATGCAGATCTACAAATTATGTATTTATATACTCTCTCCCTGATATTAAATTTGGATGGTGTACTAACTAAAATGTAAATCCAATTTAAAATTCAAATTGTGGAGTTTATTGAAAAAAATAACATTTAGTAATCATTTTGGATCTCTTTGTTTGGCAGATTATTAGCCAATCCCCACAGTGATAATTCCCATTATACATATATATGAACATTTGCAACTTTAACATAGTCCTCACCAACAAAGCCATTGACCTTGACTCCTTGACCATAGTTTACTCTCATTGCCGGACCGACTATTTCATCAATAAATTTTTGAGAGAAGCCAGCTTTTTGCATGTTCTCATCAACAGTCACGTTTAATTTTGTAATGAAGTCATTGCCCCCCAAGGCATGAAGTAAGGACTCAGTGCTGGAAAATGAGTACTCAAAGGTCTGATATCTGTAAATCCTACAAAAAAAATAATAATTATTACCAACACAGTGAAGTACACAGGTAATAACAGTGTAAAATCGCTGTGCACATTGAAGCGGATGTGTCAATGGCACGGTATGTGATCCCCCACTGCTTGAGAATGGATGGCTGTGTGACGGCCACTAGTAACTGAAGCAGGTAAAATAGGACACTGCAGTTTTACAAAGAATGTTAGAGTCATATTTCCTCTATCTTTATTGCAGTTTGCCTAATATAATAGCTCCAATTAAAGTATATAAACATGCAGTATTTATAAATCTAGCTTACTTGACAGAGGAATACAATTCTGAAGTTGTTATATTGCCCTGTCTGTTCCTTTACTCCTTGGCATTGCATGAAAAGTACAATGTGCAATTATTTATTTTATGTGGTTGCAAATTTAGGGCAGTTTAACATTTTATAAAAGATGACAGATTTTTTTTCTTAATCAAATGCTTCTGATCTCTTTCCTATTGTCTCCAATAAGCTGCTTGTGATGGATATCCCCATTGTAATACCAGAGAGTATCAGTGAAATACTACAACTAACCATAAATAAATAAATTGCATTCTGCTTTGCACAAAGTAATCAGCTTATTTCCAATTAAAACTCGCATTCCCAACAAACCGTGAACAAAAGAAAAAATATATACAAACCTCATAAATTTATCGAGCATATCCTCCACCCACATGTACATTCGTATGAAATTCAATCCATAATACCACAGCATTTTGATAATATTGATCAGGAACCAGTTGCTCTCTTGGAAAACAAAATCATCTCCATTATAAATTCCAACAAGGCTACTAGTTGGAGATCGAACGTGGAGACCTGCCGGAAAACACATTTAGGTATCATATATTCACACTTTGGAATAGAAGAATGCAGATTTCTATGCAACAGACTTTGGTTGTATCCATGGGGTCGTTATATAACACCCCAACTTGGGAACCTATATGTAACACTCTGTACATGGGACGTGGAGTGCAGGAAGTCTTTCCTTTTGCCACATGAGTGTATGTTACTAAGACAAATAGATGTTAATCTTGAATCCACATTTTATAGGGACACTGTAGGCACTATAAGCATTTCCTCTTATAGAATTGGTTATAGTGCCATGAGTCCCGTGGCACTGTCCCTCCATTCAATGTTAAACCATTTTCGAGCAATTTAACACTGAATGAGAATCCACGGCTTCCTACAGGCCTGCCCACACTGGAGTTCTGGTTATGGCAGAGATTACACACTTCCTTCTAGCCATATCAAATCATTCAAGCAATGAGTGCTTTGATAGCCTGAAAGCACTCAGCTGACACTCTCAGCCAATCACAGCTGCCCATTGCTTTTCAGGCTAATGCTTCCTCAAGCCGCACAGAGGGGATGGGTTGCTGCATTTAGCATTAAAAACAGGGCTCGAGTCCTGCAGTAATGGTCCTAATCATCATTATTTATGGTATGGCAGTATCAGCACCTAGCTTGTGTGTGTTTGAAGCTACAGATAGTGTATCCCTGCATGCTGAACATTCCACTGATGTCTGAGGAGCGGTCACTCACAAGCTGCTCTCTGCTTCTTGATGTTGATGACATCACATAGCGCGCTGCCCGGCTACGGAGAGAGCTAGCGGTAGAAGCTGGGGAATGAGACCAGGGAGGTAAGTGTGAGTGAAGGGAAGGGGCTGCGAGGTCGGTGAGACACATAGACACTCCAAAGTGTGTCAAGGCAGTGTAGTGGGGGCTGAGTGTGAGTGACAGACAGGACAGTGAGTGAGGTATGGGAGAGGAGGGGTTAATGGGGAAACTTGGGGGGAGTGAGTGAAGTTTCTCTACTTGTGGAGTTTCTGCATATGAGTGAGTGCTGCCTCACTGTGAGATTAGGTGTCTCATACAAGGGAGCACTCACTTTCATTCATGACCTGCTGGAGGGTATATTTGAATAGACAGTAAATGTAACACTGTAGTTTGGGGAGTGTGGGATGCTGAACCTCCATGGTGTACAGGTAATAACTACAGGTTACCAGTGTTAGGTTGGCAATGAAATCCCTGATTGTGCACCACTAATTAAAAGCTCCTTGAAGACTTGTTTCATGTGTTAAAGAGGGACTTATCAATCAGGTCATCTGGCAGTCACTGCCAGTGTATTTGACAATATTCAGGCAGGTCCCCAAGCAGTCACTGTCAGTGTATTTGGCACAAGTCAAATCATACAGGTTGTTACAACAGTTTTTTGAAATGTCTTTGTAAACTGGCACTTTACAATAAATGTTGCACTGTATATTTGGCACTAGTCAATCATGGTCCCCTGGTAGCCACTGTCGGTGTATTTGGCACTAGTCAATCATGGTCCCCTGGTAGCCACTGTCGGTGTATTTGGCACTAGTCAATCAGGTCCCCTGGCAGTCACTGTCAGTGTATTTGATAATAATCAGGCAGGTCCCCAGCAGTCATTGTCAGTGTATTTGGCACAAGTCAAATCATACAGGTTGTTACAACTGTTTTTTGAAATGTCTTTGTAAACTGGCACTTTACAATAAATGTTGCACTGTATTTTCTGAGAAATATATATGCATACGAGCGTATATTTTTTTTTTTTTTTTGGGGGGGGTGGGATCTTGGATGAGTTCCTACACTTTTTTCCCCAGGACTTGACCCCTGATTAAAAATGATTTAATGCTGAATTGACGGACAACTCCAGGGGACTACAAACACTATAACCACTTCAATCTGTGCCTCTTCTTCCCCTCACTTCTATGTTCTTATTCTTCAATTTATTTCTCCTAGGTACTTTGCCTTAAGTATTTTCCCCCTGCTTGACAAAAGGCAATCTTTGCATTACAATATTTATGAAGGTTCCCGTGGTGTTGCGGGATCCACCACAGACCTAAAACCTGTACAGTTGTGCATGCAACAGGGCCGCTTTAAAAGAAAAATATTGAAAATATCATTCCCACCATTACAGAGAAAATGCATTAAAATAAATTTTAAGAATTACTTTTTAGTTTCAGATTTTTTATATTTATTAACTATTTCTTTTGTACACTGAGGAATAAAACAAATTACATGAAATTAAAGAGCTTTCAATGTGTAAGTGTAAGTAGAGATTGTTGCAGACAACGTACTCAGTGGCCTCTTTTAGCCTGATTATGCACCCTGTCACACTAAAAAAAATTGTTCAGGTATGGTTTGAGGGATATGACAAGCACAAGGTATTGCCTTGGCTTCCAAATTCCAAAGATCTCAATCGGATTGAACATCGGTGGGGTGTGCTGGAACAACAAATCTATTTAATGGAGACTCCACCTTGCAGGACAAAGGATCTGATGCTAATGTCGAGATATCACAGGACATGCTCAGAGGATTTGTGTAGTACATGCCTTGACGCATCAAAGCTGTTTAGGCAGCACAAGGGGGAGCTACATAATAGGCAGGTGGTTTTAATGGGGCTGATCAGTGTCCATATACGGTTTTAAATGTTCAGTGCCCCTCCCTCTCATCAGCCTCCCATTGAGGTGAAATACTGCAAGGCTTGAAGAATTAGCTAGTCCTCTGAGGCACTCACCGGCTACCTGGCTAAACGTTCCTTATAGTGTAAAAGGAGAGAGCACAGATAGCCAGTGGTGTCGGGCAGTGGTGTAGGGTAGAGTTCAAAGCAATTTTACTAAAATCTAAAGTTCTAAGGTGGAGAATGTCACATTTTAATCACAGGATGCAAGTATCAGTAATTCACTTACCAAGTTCTTTAACAAATGTTTTCATGTGAAGATTAAGTGGGTGTATGACAGCTCCCCCGGCCTCATACTGAGCACCTTCCATGTCCACTGTAGCCAGACGTCCCCCAACTTCTCCTTTCTCAAACACATCAATCTGGATATGTTTACCATATTTGTGCCTCAGGAAATAGGCAGCAGATGAACCTCCAATTCCAGCTCCTATAACAGCTGAGAGACACAGATCTTTATGGAATATTTTTGGATCAGCTTTTCAAATTATTTAATATTTTTGGATAAACTCTTAAAATGATTAATATTTTGAAATACATTTTATATTTGATATAAATATATTTTATTATGATATATTGATTTTTTTGTTGATATGTTGACATCAAAATATTAATGAGAAATTACACACACTAAGCAAGACTAAGCGCCTCAGAAACGACAAAACCGGAGGGGATGAAGACGAAGACCGGTTGATCACATGGACAACACTCATGTTGTCCGTGTGCACCACCACCTTCCGGTTTGCCAGTTCTGAACCCCATAGTTCCACCGCCACGACAATGGGAAAGAGCTCCAGGAACATTAGGGCACCACGCACCATCGTCCTTGAAAGTAGGCCCCAAAGCCCACTGCCCCGGACGCGTCGGTGTACAACTCCAAATCCATATTGGACACCGCCGGGCGCAGCCAGCAAGATTGACCGTTGTACCTACCCAAGAATGAGCTCCAAACTTGCAGATCCTCTCGATGTCTGTGGGTGATACGAATGAAGTAAAACGGCTGTTTGACTCCGACCGTTGCTAATGAAAGGCGCCAGCAAAAAATGCCTGTAACTGCCGGAGCTGTACCTTTTTCGCTCCTTTAACCGAACCCACCAGACACAGCAGGTGGGTCAGTTTCTCTTCCGGCAACCAGAAAACCATACTCCGCGAATCCACTTCAATACCCAGTTAGCAAAGAACCCCCACCGACCCAACCGTCTTTTCCCCCGCTATTGGCAGACCAAACTCCGACGCAACGGCTCTAAATGAATCTAAGAGCCCCACGCAGTCATCCGACTCCCGTGGGCCCACAAACAAGAAATTATCTAAATAGTGAGTTAGCGACGTTAACCCGGAAACCCGAGCAACCACCCATTCCAAAAAGAACGCGAACATTTCAAAATAAGAACAGGAGATAGCGCTGCCCATTAGCAAACACATATCAACAAAAAAGGAACCCTGAAACTAGCAACCCAACAGGTGAAAACAGTCCGGGTGGACCGGGAGCAGTCGGAAAGCGGACTCGATGTCCGACTTGGCCAACTAAGCTCCCCTCCCTGCTTCCCAGACCAACTCCAGAGCCCGATCAAAGGAGGCATAGCGAACGTGTGACACCTCCCGGTCAATGTCATCATTCACCGACCCGCCGGACGGGTAGGACAGGTGGTGAATTAGACAAAAGGATCCAGGCTCCTTCTTAGGGGCCAACCCCAGCGGGAATACCCGCAAATTGGGAAGTGGCGGCGTATCAAATGGGCCGGCCATCCTGCCCAAATGAACTTTCTTCATCAACTTCCCCTCTAATATCCCTTCTTTACCCACCACCGAACGCAGACTGTCCGCTAACGAAGGGGAATCTGAATGAACAAATGGAATCCAAAACCCTACCGAAAACCCCTCCAGCAGGACCTCCGCATCCTTACGCTTGGGGTACTTGTCCAGCCAAGGGCGCATCCTTAGGAAGCTCACCGGAGTCCTCCCCTCTAGAGAGATCCACCTTGCTTACCCTTCTTGAAGCAGCGCAGGGCAGGGTGGGCCCCTCCACAATGAGAGCACTCGTGTCTGAATCGACACGATCCAAACCACTTGCAATGGCTCTCATTGTAGAGCCAACAGACGCCCCTGCGCTGCCCAGCGCTGGCCGCTCAAGGAAAGGGGGACGGACGACTGGGGGTCATCAACAAGAGCCAAAGGCTCCTGTCTTGTACCCCAAAGTCCATACCCGGACACACCACCATCTTCTGGAGAAATTGTTGGTCATAGCGGAACCAACATTGACACCCATAAACCTTGTACGCCCCCCATATAAGGTCTAAGTATCCAATCAACGCCGGTGCCTTCTCAGGGCACACTCGTAAATATTGAGAACCCTTGAAGCCAGTTCCCAAACGTATGCGGCAGCTGCTTGCTTTTCTCGCCGTCTGCCGCCTCCCCCCGTCGCAGCCTATCCACTGACACCCGGTCCGGATGGACCAGGGACAGTACGTCTACGTACTCACCTTTTATGATCTTCTCCTTAACCTCTAACGCCACATGCATACCTAGGGGGGACAACTCGCAACCCGGCAAGCACCCCCGCACCCCACCAGAAAGCACCCCCACATGCCTACTCTGGTCCCAGGACTGGGAAGGGAGCGCGCTAGCAGCTGGGCCAGGGAGCCTCTCTAAAACTGCCCTAAGCAACCTCAGCACCTCTTCTCCCGCCAGCGCATCCCAAGCGCTGGCGCAACACTCACCTGTGGCTGCCTGAGGATGCTGGGATGCCTTCTCCTCCGATCCAGAACTTAACCCTACTGAGGTATGGGGGGACCCGCGGTCAGCCTCCTGGCCCGACTGCAATCTTCCACGGTGTCCACTGCTGGCCGCCGGCTCCAGCACCAGCGTAATCACCGTGGAAGGCACGGTGAAAAGCAAGGCCTGTGATGGCCGCGCTCTCCTGAGCGATGCCGTCAGGTACGTGCCTTGCTTCCTGACGTCTTCATCCAGCGTGCCCACGCTGCGTGGCGTGCGCGCTGATGTCAAATCCAGTTGGGCCGGAAGAGAAGAGCGTAGGCTGCTCGGACACCTTCAACAGCCCGAATCAGTCGCCTCCTGGGGACCGATGGCCTCTCCAAGTGCGCGGCCGAGCCGCCATTAGTTCTCCTCTCACACTGCCAGACTGGGCTCAGGGAAAGGCGCGACGGAGACCTCGATCTCCTGGCCCTCCGTCCGCCAGAGGGGCGACGGCCACAGGCTGACCGGATGCCTCTCCTTCCTCCTGGGCCACGCTCCTCACCCCCGACATTAATTCATCCAGGGCCCCTCGCCGTGGGCCTCGAGGTAAGCTTGCAGAAGCCTCTGCAAGTCAGCAGCTGGGGCAGCCATAACAGCGAGATGCACAGGCTCAGGGGAGATTCGCCGTTTAGGTGATCTGCCCAAAATTTATTTTTATAATAATAATCATTTTCTTTACAGGAGACAGTCAGCCAGGAAAACAGTTAGGAGCCCTCAACTGATCCTGCCGACTGGTAAGTCCCCTCCCTCTCCCTTTCCTTAAAGGAAAACTCCAGTGCCAGGAAAACAATCCGTTTTCCTGGCACTGCAGGTACCCTCGCCCTCTCACCTCCCATCCCAGGTAGCTGAAGGGGTAAAAACCCCTTCAGGTCACTTACCTGAGACCCCGCCGATGTCTCTCGGCGGTGGTTTTGAGTCGGTGTCGCTCCTCCAAGTAATCACGTCAGCTGGTGGGCGGGACTGATCCCGCCCGCTGGCTGAGGAAACCTAATGCGCATGCGCGGCATTTTCAATGCTTTCCTATGGGGAATAGAGCGACGCTGGAGGTCCTCACACAGCGTGAGGACGTCCAGCGACGCTCTAGCAAATAAAATCTTTGCTATGAATCATGAAGTGCCCTCTAGTAGACAGCCACTAGAGGTGGAGTTAACCCTGCAATGTAATTATTGCAGTTTATAAAAAAAAACTGCAATAATTACAGTTGCAGGGTTAAGAGTAGTGGGAGTTGACACCCAGACCACTCCAATGGGCAGAAGTGCTCTGGGTGCCTGGAGTGTCCCTTTAAGAACCCCCAACATTAGCAACATGGTATCTTCCCTGATCCATTCCACAATTTTGGGCAGCAGTCATGTTCCCCCTTCCTTATTACTGCAAGAATCTAATCAGTCTGCAGTGCTGCTTCAAACTTGGAGAAAATAATGCATTTATACCAGTAATATTAATTTATTGTTATTTGTTTTAGTCAAACCCACCCAAGTCTCTGCAAAGCATTTCTACCCACCAGTTAACTCAATTAATATGTTATCAAAGTAAGATAAATGGCAATAATAATAATAATAATAATAATAATAATAAGATTTAAAAAAAAAAAAAGTACCAAGAAACCTGACACCCCACACTTTGTGGCAATGCAACATATAACACAAACCCATCATTAAACCAAAAGGTTCAAAGGTGAATAGTGTTCCATTAACCCCTTCCTGCCAGCCACGCTCTGTACAGGTACTGCCACTCACAGCACTGACTGCCCTGCGGGTTTACCTATCCTGCTTGGCGGGAACCGCAGCTCCTCCGTCTCTCCGGCATGCAGGGCACACACTATGAAGGCAGAGCCCGCAAACAGGACACCCAGCCAGGTCTGCATGGCTTCTCAGGACTCCTTCCTACACTGATACTGCGCATGCGCGGCCAGCCCGCCTGCCTATGCAAGCCAAACCATTCCTGTGTGAGGCTGCCCAGGCATGCTGGCAGGGCATAGTCTGTATTCAATATCAGCTGTGGGTATACCCTTGGCTGCCCAGGCATGCTGGCAGGGCATAGTCTGTATTCAATATCAGCTGTGGGTATACCCTTGGCTGCTCAGGCATGCTGGCAGGGCATAGTCTGTATTCACTATCAGCTGTGGGTATAGCCTTGGTTGCCAGGCATGCTGGCAGGGCATAGTCTGTATTCAATATCAGCTGTGGGTATAGCTGCCCAGGCATGCTGGCAGGGCATAGTCTGTATTCAATATCAGCTGTGGGTATACCCTTGGCTGCCCAGGCATGCTGGCAGGGCATAGTCTGTATTCAATATCAGCTGTGGGTATACCCTTGGCTGCCAGGCATGCTGGCAGGGCATAGTCTGTATTCAATATCAGCTGTGGGTATACCCTTGGCTGCTCAGGCATGCTGGCAGGGCATAGTCTGTATTCACTATCAGCTGTGGGTATAGCCTTGGTTGTCCAGGCATGCTGGCAGGGCATAGTCTGTATTCAATATCAGCTGTGGGTATACCCTTGGCTGCCCAGGCATGCTGGCAGGGCATAGTCTGTATTCAATATCAGCTGTGGGTATACCCTTGGCTGCCCAGGCATGCTGGCAGGGCATAGTCTGTATTCAATATCAGCTGTGGGTATACCCTTGGCTGCTCAGGCATGCTGGCAGGGCATAGTCTGTATTCACTATCAGCTGTGGGTATAGCCTTGGTTGCCCAGGCATGCTGGCAGGGCATAGTCTGTATTCAATATCAGCTGTGGGTATACCCTTGGCTGCCCAGGCATGCTGGCAGGGCATAGTCTGTATTCAATATCAGCTGTGGGTATACCTCTGGCTGCTCAGGCATGCTGGCAGGGCATAGTCTGTATTTAATATCAGCTGTGGGTATACCCTTGCACTCCAGACTCCCAATATTTCTTACCCGGTGCTCAGCTGCACAATTTAGACACTGGTATACAAAGCCAGCACACAAGGTCTTCTTAAAATGAATAATTTAATCCAGAGATTAAACCAAGAAAAAATACAAATAAGTCAACATTTTAATTAGTTTCACGAACTTTCCTCAGGTCCTGACTCAGGACTTATTTGTATTTTTTCTTGGATTAATCTCTGGATTAAATTATTCATTTTAAGAAGACCTTGTGTGCTGGCTCTATATACCACTGTGACTATATAACAGAAAATGTACACCACACTCACTGATATTTTCTTTTTACGGATATATGCTATGGCAGCATTACGTATAGGTATAGCTCCTCCCCTTCTCAATTTGACAGGAACCACCTCCTAATTAATTAATAAAAGAGACTTCCTCCCATGTCCCTTCAGTCTTAGTTCAAAGCCACGAAACAAAAATTTTTTTTTAGAAAGGGTGGGACCGTAGTGCTGCCATGGCATATATCCGTGAAAAGAAAATATAATTGAGCATGGTGCATGGTGTAAATTTTCTGTTTTCCCGGATATATGCATGGCAGCACGAAGTATAGGTTATTCCCAAGCCGAAAGGTACAAAGGAGGGGGGACTAAAAAACGCCCAAGTCAATGCAAATCAACTATAAGGCAGCAAAGAGGACACTTCTACCAAATTCCGTGGTAGAGGGACGAACTACGTCCAGCTGATGGTGATGAATATATGAAATATTTCACGTATCCCATAAGTGGGGATTGTACAACTGTATGCTATCAACACTAGAGCTAAATTCATAGCTCTAAAAAACGTGAGTAGACCGCATACTTTTTATACTGCACTCTACCTTATTTGGGACTTACTGAACCATTAGTTGTTATTTTTCTTTTTCATATGAACCACTAAAACGTACCCATCTATCAAAAACTGTATCCTCCTCCACAGAGAACCACTTGGTGTTGAATTTATCCACCATAAAGACATTCTAACCCTGGACTTCTGGTTCTAAACATATTCTTTTTCTTTATCCCTTAGCTTGGTGTATTGCTGTATATTAGATTCATTATTATCCCATTTGTTTTTAGTGGCGCTACCTTCCTTCTATCTGTTTTTACTACTTATGCTATAGGGCCTAGGAGGGAGCCCTATTATTTAGGTGTGCTGCCACCTCCATATCTATCTTCTACTGTGTGCTGTTTAGAGAGAGAGTGCTGATCCTTTCTTTTTGTAAGTGGTGAATAAATGTTTTAAAGGAGGACCATGTTGCTGCTGAACAAATGTGGTCCGGAGAATTATTGGCTGCAGCTGCCCATGAAGAGGCCAATGATCTGGTGGAATGAGCTTGAAGACCTGGTGGAACTGGAACCCCGGAAGCTGCGTAAGCCTGACTAATGGCTGAGATTATCCATCGGTCAATAGAAGGAGAAGAAGCAGTCTGACCCCTCTTGTAACCTGAAGGAATGATGAACAGATTAGAGGATTTCCTTATTTCAGAAGTACGGTTCAGCTAAACAGACAAACAACAAACCAGAATCAGAAAATGCCATTTCTCTTCTTCTTCAGATGAGGGATGAGGGAAAAAGGCTGGCAAGATGATGTCCTGATTCATATGAAATGCAGATACTACTTTAGGTTGGAATGCTGGAACCGTACGAAGAATAGCTTTGTCTTCTTGTAGAATTAAAAAGGGAGATTCGCAGGAAAGTGCTCCAAGCTCTGAAATTCTTCTACATGAGGTCAATGCAACCAGAAGAACAGTTTTCAACGTTAGAGTTAGCAGAGAAATATTATCTAAAGGTTCGAATGAAGTACCAGACAAGGTCTGCAAAACCAGAGGTAAATCCCAAGGAGAGGGGCAAGACCTTAGAGAAGGGTGTAGTTTGAGGATGGCTTGAAGAAACCTTCCCACATCCGGATCAAATGCCATTTTCCGATCCAACAGAACAGAAAGTGCTAAAATCTGTACTTTTAAGGAACTGAGGCTCAGACCCTTATCAAATGCATCTTGCAAAAGTTGAAGGACGTTACTGATACTGGGAGACAGAGAAGAAATTTTATGGGCCATACACCAGGCACAGAAGATGTCCCATATCCGATAATAAGCTGATGAAGTAGATTTCTTTCTGGCGTTAAGAAGGGTACTGATTACTGAAGTCGAGAAACCTTTACTGGAGAGGCGTTTCTTCTCAATTTCCATGCCATCAAATTGAAAGACTGAGGAGGTGGGAGACTGGACCTTGTTGCAGAAGAAGGTGCTGGTCTGAGAGATTCAGAGGGAGGTCCTAAGAAAGTTTCTGTAGCAGGGGAAACCAAGGGCGTATGGGCCAACAAGGGATTACTGCCAGAATCGTCGCTTGCTCTTGAAGGATCCTCCTCAAAAGGGGGAAAATCAGGGGAGTTGGGGGAAAACATACCCCAGATGGAACTTCCACTCGCAACAAAGAGCATCCTGGTCCTCTGCCAAAGGGTCGAAGTAACGAGAGAAGAACCTTTCCACTTTGCGATTCTTTGCTGTGGCCATCAGATCTACTTGAGGAAGGCCCCACTCTGGACTATGCTTTCGAACGCCCGATGAAATAATGCCCATTCTGTGGGGTCCAGAGTTACGGCTCAAGAAATCCACACCTTGATTGTTCTTGCCTGGGAGGTACACTGCCTTGATCCCCTTCAAATTATTTTCCATCCAGGACATCAGGGTCAAAACCTTCATTAAAGGTTTGCTCTTTGTACCCCCCTGGGAGTTGATGTATGCTACCGTGGAAGTATTGTCTATCCTTACTCTTACCCAACTTTGCTTCAGTGAAGAACGTGGATAAAGGCCTGGAAGACTGCTTGTAACTCTAAAACATTTGAAGACTGATGATACCGCTGTTTTTTCCACTGACCTTGTACATGATGAAGGTTCAGATGAGCTCACCAACGTGATTAACACGCATCCGTCGTCAAGGTGACCCAAGGAATATTGTTCAGAGGAAATCCTTGATATAAATTCTGATCGATCAGCCACCATGATAGTTCCTTTTTGATCTCTGATGACAAATAAATTTCTTGGGTCAGGTCTTTGTTTGCAAACTGGGATAAAAATCCTTCTTGAGGAATCCTCATATGCCATTGGGTCCACCAAGAAATTTCTGGGAGCTGTGCTCAAACCTAAGGGGAGAGCCCAAAATTGGAAATGCTAGTGGCGAATTGCAAACCTCAGGAACTTCTGGTGTGGTGGAGCAATCGGAATGTGAAAATATGCATCTCAAAGGTCTATGGAGATTAACCACTCACCTGGGGAGACGTCTTTGATAATGGAACTTAAAGATTCCATCTTGAATTTTCTCACACTCAGATCTGCATTTAACTCGTGAAGATCTAAAATTGGTCTCAATTTTCCTGATGCCTCTCCCGATGCCTTTGTAGTGAGGAATAGTCTGGAAACAGGACAAATTACTCCTTTCGCTGAAAGGGAAGAAACAAAAGAATGAATGGCCGCTGCTTTCTCTGGTTCTAGAGGAATGCTTGTAGACACGAACCGAGTGTGAGGGATAGTGTAGAATTCCAAGGAATAGCCGGACTTTAAGATCTTCAGCACCCACTTGTCCTGTATTGTTTGAGCCCAGACCTCATAGAAGTGTAGAAGTCTTGCTCCCACTCCCAAGGGCTGGGCTGGCGTCCCATCAGAATTGTTTTGACTGTCTGGTACTTCCACCTCGTCCCCCCGGGAGCTTTTGGAAGAGGAATATCCACCTTTCCAAGATTGGAATCTGGAAAATTCTCTACCAGGTCTGTATTGGCGATCTTTTAGGTCATCTATCTTGAGGAAGAAAAGTTTTACGTCCTTTCACTGCCCTTTTAATACATTCATCCAGATATTTGCCAAAAATCATATCCCCTTGAAAAGGGAGGGCACACAAGCTATTTTTTGAAGAAGTATCAGCCACCCAATTACGTAGCCAAAGAGCATGTCTTGATGCTACTGACAGGACCATGCTT